GGTTAGGGTTTAGGGTTTAGGGTTTAGGGTTTAGGGTTTAGGTTTAGGGGTTAGGGTTTAGGGGTTAGGGTTTAGGGTTTATAAGGTTAGGGTTTAGTACGCTATATGATCCCTTACAGGGTGCATATAAGGCCCTAAATCCCTCATACCCTACCAAGAACCAGGGGGTCGTTGCCAGGAGTAAGTGGAAGTGCGAGGATTGGTTCAGGGTTTGGGATTTAGGGTCCTACGTGCTGACGGGTGTTTGTGGGGAGACTCTAAATTGGGCGGCCCGTGTTAGCCTGCGCATAAAATGACGGAGCCTAACTTAGTTCCCCCCCATATACCACTCCTCCACACGGCATTGCGGAGTCGCCCGTGCGCTCGTCTAGGGGTCTAGGAGGGTCATTGTAAATTCGTGGGATGAAAGCTAGACCCTGAACCCCACATAAACCCGTAAATTGAAACCCCAATCCCCACAACCTAAACCCTAAATCCTAAACCCTAAACCCTAAACCCTAAATCGAAACTCCAAACTTTAATCACTCAACCCTACAGTTCTTCATCGGGCCGGTCTTGGTCCTGGACCTTTTGAAGGGTCACCGTATTCGTGCTCAACGGGGGGGATTGGAGCCCCAGCCCTAAACCCTAAACCCTAAACCCTAAACCCTACACCCACATGTAGCACCGAAGAAGCAAGTACCTCTCTGCACTCGACCTAACCCCTCAGCACCAGCAGACTCGAAAACTGTAGCCCCAAGTTCTGCGTCTGCTTTGCTATCACGGTCGGGCCTATGGTTCAAAGTTGGGTTTAGGGTTTAGGGTTTCGGGTTTAGGGTCGCGTCTGAAGAACAGAAGCGCAAACCACGCCTAGGCTGCTTTGCAACACTTTGCAAGTGCAGGGAGGGGGAACTGTCTTTGGGTTTACCTGTAGCCCCAAAGATCAACATGTTCTAAGGGAGCCGTTAAGCAAATCTTTATGTATCAAGAGGCTCGTTTCGTTACTGTTCAGGTTCCTGCTTCCGTTTGCGGCAGTATCCGTAAAGCTGTCGATTTGTACGTCCGAAACCCGAAACCCTAAACCCCAAACCCTAAACCACAAATCCGAAACCCTAAACCCCAAACCCTAAACCCGAAACCCCAAACCCCAAACCCTCAACCCTAAACCCCAAACCCGAAACCCTAAACCCCAAACCCTAAACCCTAAAAATCAGCGGGGCATGCTAAGGCCCCTGCCGAGCTCTGCTCTTCGCCGTTGAGGCAAATGGTCCTTGAGGGAGGGCGCAGGGTTTAGGGTTTAGGGTTTAGGGTTTAGGGTTTAGGGTTTAGGGTTTAGGGTTTAGGGTTTAGGTAGGTAATTCAGGAGCCTCAACCATGAGAAGTATGTCTCTATTCTCGTCGTAGGAGAGGATTCGAAACTACTCAAAGTGCACACTCCAATTTAGGCCCCCGAAACAATCGACTTTGTTTTACTGTTTCTCTTATCGCGTGTACAGGGATCTTCTGCAAGAATATGCCTTTAGACGGTCAACCTAGGTTGAGGGTTTAGGGTTTACGCACCTCCCTAGGCAACCCAACGCTCGGCAAGTCGTTGTTCCTTTCGGGCTTTGGCGCGGGGAGCGGTCTCCGGGACCCTAAACCCTAAACCCTAAACCCTAAAACCGAGACCGACCTCCAGATTTTTCAGGCTTAGGGTTTTTGTTTTAGGTCGCATAATGTTTAGGTTGGAGGGCTTGTTCCTAAAGTTTTCCGAAGAGCTTGCAAGCCCAAATCCTAAACCCGTAACCCCTGAATCCCACACGTCCTTTACCCCACCCCACACCCTAAACCCCAAACACCTAAACCCTGAACCCCAAACCCTAAACCCCAAACCCCAAACCCTAAACCCTAAACCCCAAACCCCAAACCTGCACCCGTGGAGCCCTAAACCCCCAAATCTCAGGTCCCTCCCCCGCCCCCCTAGGCCCGTGGCGAAGTGGAAGTTCCCTTCGGAGATGTCAGTGTGATCTGCAGCAACAGCCGGCTAGCCTAAGCCCTAAGCCCTAAGCCCCAAGCCCTAAGCCCTAAGCCCTACGCCCTAAACCCTAAACCCTAAACCCTACACCCTACACCCTACACCCTACACCCTAAACCCTAAACCCTAAACCCTAAACCCTAAACCCTAAACCCTAAGCCTCGCCCTAAACCCGAAACCCTAAACCCTCAACCTAAGTTAGGGTTTAGGGCTGAGAGTTCACAAGGAACTGAGGAGGTTTGGGGTTTAGGGTGTAGTCGTTAGGGGCTAGTGGGTAAAGGGGGTTCTAGAGGGTTTGGTTTAGGGTTGAGGGTCCGGTGCTGGTGATGACGTTTGCGGGCTTGAGCGTTTGGCGCTCCAGGGCATAAAGAATTTCAGCAGAGGTAGGGCGTAGCGCTTGGGGTTTGGGGCTTGGGGCTCAGGGTTTGGGGCTTGGGGCTCAGGGCTCAGGGCTTGGGGTTTCGGGTTTAGGGCGTAGTTATTTCCTATGTTCCACCCCCTCTCCGACTTTAAATACACCCCTCCGCAGTGGTCGAAAGTGATCGACTTCCATGTGCCCGCCCCACCCCCATCCGCCTTCAGCTGGTCTCCTTTGTGCTCGATAAGTGTACTTGTGACACCCACACCTGGAGAGAGTAGGATGGGCTTCGGCTCTCCCAGCTTTTCGGGCATTTTAGGGTGTAGGGTTTAGGGTTTAGGGTTGGCTTTCAGTTCAGGAGAGGCTCTGCCCCAAGAACCCATAGAGGTTTCGGTATTGCAAGCTGGCCTTCAGCCCCGAACCCACCACCGCCAAGCAGGAAGGACCCTAAGCCCCTAAGCCCTGAAAGCCATGGCAATGCGGGTCACAGAAGCCCCAGATATATTGTGGTTTCCGCCAAGAGCAGCCATGAGAGCTGGGCGTCTCCTATTGGCGCGTAGAAAAACCATTCTGAACTACTATTTGCTTCAGAACCCCAAAAGCAAAAAAACAACAATCCCTATATTACGCTTGATAAGGCAGAATGTCTTTTATCTTTTCGGGGTTCTTAAACAATTAGTAGTGAAGTTACGAGGACTTGAGGTGAGGGTTTGGGAAGTCGCCCATGATGCTTTCACGCCGGACAAGAGATAACTTCCGGCTTCCCTTAAACCCAAACCCCTAAAAACCCTTAAGCCCAAAGCCCCAAAGCCCCAAAGCCCCAAAGCCCTAAAACCTAAACCCTAGACCCTAAACCTCAAAACCCTGAAACCCCCCTGAAAATGGCATCGAACGAATGCCACTCGGCGCGCCATCCTTACATGGATATAGCCCTAACCCCCCCCCCCCCCCAAACTAACCCAAAGCCCAAAGCCCAAAACCCAAAACCCCTAAACCCCTACGCCCCAAACCCCTAAGCCCCTAAACCGCAAAACCCCCGAAACCCTCGAAACCCTAAGCCCTCAACCAAAAACCCGAAGTGGAACCACATTCAAAGTTTAGGGTCTCCGGCTGGCATGATTTCACGACCGAGGCGCCGTAGTTGAAGGAGCTGGCGAAGGTGCGCATCCTGGGCACCCCCCCCAAGGATTATGGTTTAGGGTTTAGGGTTTCGGGGCTCAGGTTCGAAGCCCTAAACCCTAAACCCTAAACCCTAAACCCTAAACCCTAAACCCTAAACCCAACACCCTCAACCTTACCAGCGCACTGGCAAGTCCCTTGAGAGTGCTTAAGGCTCTAGGCCCTTAGCGTTGTTTGAGTTAAGGGACAAGGCGAAAAAAACCCTGAGCCCTGAGCCTTAAACCCCGAACCCCTAGCCCCCAGCCCTGAGCCTTAAACCCCAGACTCGAACCCCTGAATCCCAAACCCTAAACCCCAAGCAAGGACCCCTGCGCCCGGCCATGCATGAGGTGCTTGGCACCTCTTTTTTGCAAGCCCCTTGCGCTCTAGGGTCTGCAGCGCCACTTTGTGCATCTCGTCCTGGAATGACCTCAGGGAATAAGGTTTAGGGTCTATAAGGGGTTTAGGGTTTAGGGGTTTAGGGGTTTAGGGGTTTAGGGGTTTAGGGGTTTAGGGGTTTAGGGGTTTAGGGGTTTAGGGGTTTAGGGGTTTAGGGGTTTAGGGGTTTAGGGGTTTAGGGGTTTAGGGGTTTGCGAGTTTAGGGGTTTAGGGGTTTAGGGCTTAGGGTTTGGGAATTGGGGTTTAGGGTTTAGGGATTAGGGTTTAGAGAGCAAGTAGGGTTTAGGACTTAGGGGTTTAGGGCTTGGCGTTTAGGCGTTTAGATTTGGGGTTTAGGGAGCCCCCCCCCCCCCCCCTCTTCCTCCTAAACCCTAAACCCTAAACCCTAAACCCTAAACCCTAAACCCTAAACCCTCATTTGCGAGAGCAGCTTAAGCCCTCAAGGCTTCAACTGTGGGTTGGGCAGACTTGGGTGCAGTCTCCCCTAAGAGCACAGAGGGGTTAGGGTTTAGGGTTTAGGGTTTAGGGTTTAGGGTTTAGGGTTTAGGGTTTAGGGTTTAGGGTTTGGGGCTTCAGGCTTAGAGCTTAGGATATACGTTTATGGGGTTGCTTAGTCTTAGATGAGTCGGGAGTTGTTTGGAGATTTTTCGTATGGCGCAACAGTCCAAGCTCACGTTGTTGATCTCCTTGATTAACTGAATGTCGATTGCTGCTTGCTATGAACCACTTCTCGCTGCCTGCTACATGTTTGACCTAGCTAAACCCGAAACCCGAAACCCAAAAAACCCTAACCCTAAACCCGAAACTTTAAACCTTAAACCCTAAAATCCTAGACCCCAAAAACCCTAAAGCCCGAAACCCTAAAACCCTAAAACCCCTAAACCCCAAAAACCCTAAAGCCCGAAACCCTAAAACCCTAAAACCCCTAAACCCTAAAACCCTAAACCCGAAACCCTAAACCCTAAAACCCGAAAACCCTATATAAAACCCTAAAACCCTAAAACCCTAAAACCCTAAACCCTAAACCCTAAAAGCGTGAAGCCCTAAACCCCAAACCCTAAAACCCTAAAACCCATTCCCGAGGCGGGTCGCGCAGCACGTCGCTCTTGTCGTCCCCGTTCGCAAGAGCCTTGGGCCGGACCAGTGGGTTTAGGGTTTGGGGATTTAGGGTTTAGGGTTGTAGGGTTTTAAGGTTTAGGTTTAGCGTTGAGTGCGTTCGTCTACGGGTTTCGGGTTGAGGTTCAGGGATTGAGGGCTTAGGTGTGTTCTCGTTTCTTGTTTGGACGGGCGGGGGGAGGCGGGGGGGGGGCGGGCGGTGTTGTGGGTTTGTTCACTTTGAGGTTTAGGGTTTAGGGTTTAGGGTTTAGGGTTTAGGGTTTAGGGCTAGTTGAAGTATCAAAGGTCCCGAGCCGACACCACCCGCCACAACCCCAGGCGCTCAACTTCGTCCAAGACGCGCAATGCCGCGGAATACGTGAGGATGGTCCTCAACAGCCAGGTTTAGGGATTAGGGTTTGGGTTTAGGGTTTAGGGTTTAGGGTTCAGGGTTTAGGGTTTAGGGTTTAGGGCTTAGGGTTTAGGATGCTGAAGAGGCTTGCGTAGATGCTTACCAGCCCCCACTCGAAACCCTAAGCCCTCAGCTCAACACATGCCAACCAATGAGGCATCGGCCCCCTTGCCTCCTATCAGCACATGGCCTGCTTTAGGCACCAGCATGTAATCTCACAGAGGGTTTAGCGCTTAGGGTGTCATCTAGCAACGAGTATAGGGGCCTGTTTAACAGTTACCTGTGCTTTGGGTAGCTTTGCTTGTGTAAGCCAGCTCAACAGAGTCCTGAAAGCCCTAAGCCAGCAAGCCTTGAACAGAAGGGGGTGGGCAACAGCCCCAAGAAAACGCAAAAACCTGGACTCAAATGCTAAATTACGCTAAAGCTTTCTGGCGCATGAAGGGGAGTAGGGCCTCTGCGTAATGCAGATCTACCCCCTACAGTAGCACCTATGTTCGCACCTCTCCCGGCGACGTCCTCTTCTGACCACACATAGTACTTAAACCCCCTACCTGGGACCCTAATCCTAAACCCTAAACCCTAAACCCTAAACCCTAAACCCTAAACCCTAAACCCTAAACCCTAAACCCTAAACCCTAAACCCCTGGGACCCTGTGTACCTACAGTTGAGTAGGAACTACCCCTTGATTAGAAGGAATAACCCTTAAGGTAAAGAGGGTCCCAGGTCAACCCTCAGCCCTCAGTCCTAAACCCAGTATGCCCTAAACCCTAAACCCTAAACCCTAAACCCTGAGGTCGAAGGGCGGCTGCAAGGCCGACAGTGCGTGCTGGAACCTGGGGGGACACGCTCAAGGCACTGACGTCTTCAATGATTTCTTTTGGTTTGGGGGTGCAGGTTTAGGGTTTAGGGTTTAGGGTTTAGGGTTTAGGGTTTAGGGTTTAGGGTTTAGGGTTTAGGGTTTAGGGTTTAGGTTTTAGGGTTTAGGGAATGGGGTACCCTAGATAGTCCCGTAAAGGGCATATATGGGGCCCTAGTTCCCTCATTCCCTACTAAGAGGGGTCCTTTGGTTTGGGGCTTACGGTTTTGGGTTTTGGGCTCAGGGTTCGGGAGCTCTGCTCACTTGAGGCCGTGATGGCTTAGGGTTTAGGGTTTAGGGTTTGGGGTTTAGGGCTTAGGGTTGAGGGTTTGGGGTTTAGGGTTTAGGGTTGGGGTTTAGGGCTGAGGGTTTAGGGACATTAATTGCTTTCTTTGAGCTCCTGATTCCAGTATGAGTGAGATGTGATCGGGACGTACCAACTCCTTCCGAACGAACGAGATGTTCCGCGGTGTAAAATACTCCATGGAAGGCTTATAGTCAAGTTGTGAAGTGCACATGGTGCAAAACACCAAGACAGCAAACAGCTCTCCTGTTGACAGGCACTAGCTCACTGCTCGCCGAAAACACGCGGCCAATTATCAACGTGTGACGCCCTACGCCTGAACCTCGAGACCCTAACAACCCTAAACCCTAAACCCTAAACCCTAAACCCTAAACCCTAAACCCTAAACCCCTAAACCCCCAAAATGCCCCCCTCCCCCCAAACCCCAAGTCCCCACTAGGCCCGAAGGTCAGGGCTTTTCGGGATGTAGGTTTTGCGGTTTGGGGCTTTTGGGGGTTTAGGGGGATTAGGATGTAGGATTTAGGGCTTAGGGGTTTTAGGATGCAGGGTCTGGGGTTCTGGGGGTTCTGAGGATTTGGGGTATTTTGGGGTTGTGGGTTTTAGGGATTTAGGGTTTAGGCCTGTATCATATCGCAAGTCGAGGGGCATGGCCAGCGCGACAGTCCATGATCCGGCCCTGCCCATCAGGGGGGCAGTCCGAGGGCGTAGGGTTTAGGGTTTGGGGTCTAGGTTTGAGGGTATCAAGCCCTAAACCCTTACAAGCCTCAAGCCGCCTTGGGTGCAGGGTTGCGCCTGAGATCTGAACCCCTAAACCCCAAACCTTCAAACATGAAACCCTTAACCCGAAATCCCACACCTTAAGCCCCAGCAGAAACAACCCTAGAGCCCGAATCCTGGGCGCTAAACCTTGGCCCAGAATCCGTGCGGGAACAGTCAGGGTTCTACTGTTCTATTGTTTTGCGTGGTGGCATTTTGATTGGACTCAGATCTATCCTGAGACCTCCACCTTTTCTGCTGCAAAAGACAGATTCGTGTCTAAGGCCTACTTGGAGGTTCACGGGCAGTAATAAGTGGGGATATATGCATGGCAACTCTACTTCTAACCCTATTTAGCGTACTTGTAAACCGCCATGAACCTCCAAGCTGGGGAACGCCCCTAAACCCTGAACCCTGAACCCTAAACCCTAAACCCTAAACCCTGAACCCTGAACCCTAAACCCTCAACCCTGAAGCCTAAACCGCGGGGAATGCCGGGCAGGCTTGCGCGCCTGTTGCAGGCACCGATCACTGCGTTGCAGCTGACGATGTCTACCGTCCTCATCCGATCTCCGGGGTTTGGGGTTTGGGTCCCTTGGTTTTTGCTTTCGGGATGTAGGTTTAGGGTTTAGGGTTCAGGGCGTTTAGGGTTTAGGGTTTAGGGCCTAGGGTTTAGGGTTTAGGGATCCCGACAGCGCTCGTCGAAAAGCTTGGCTTGAGTTTGGGGGATCTATCGGAACCACGGTGACTGCCAATACTCATGCCTTTCAGACAAGGGCAATCGTTCTTGGTATCGCACCTGTTGCTATTGCAGGGATTGCCAATGTTCTTGCTTCATTTTCTACCATTGCCACTGCTAAGAGAAACAATATTTGTGCTTTGTCTAGGGTCCGGGGTTAGGTTCTTGAGGCTCGGGGTTCAGGGGTTTGGGGTCTAGGGTTTAGGGTTTAGAGTTTAGGGTTTAGGGTTTTAGTGGGAATGGTTGACTTGGCCAAGCAGCAAGCCGCTTGAGGCAAGCTCGTTGAAGAGCGCCACCGCACCGCGCCAGTCACCGCCCTCCTGATGAGCAAAGATGAGCAGCCTAAACCCTAAGCCCTAAGCCCTAAACCCTAAACCCTAAGCCCTAAAACCCTAAACCCTAAACCCTAAGCCCTAAGCCCTAAGCCCTAAGCCCTAAAACCCTAAACCCTAAACCCTAAACCCTGCGATAAAGAGGGAGGAAGAGAGACCCGAGAGAGAAATGAGTGAGAGAAGAACATGAGACAGGGGGTGAAAAGACAGTTGTATGAAAATAAGTGGAAGGTGCAGCCAGAAATCCCAAAGGCACATGCATGCAGGAGGAAAGCAAGCCTTCACAGGGTATTGGGCTTAGGGGTTCGGGCCTTTCAAAAGATCGGGGTTCAGTTCATTTCTAGCCAAGGAAATACTTTTCCCGGATATTTCAGGGAACCCCGTTTCGGGACCTAATTTAATACCCCGAGACCGTCAGCCCTAAACCCTATGACCTACAATAACTACACCCTAAACCCTAAACCCTAAACCCTAAAACCATCTTGAAGCCATTTGTAGAGTCGAGGCGCCCCGCAAGCGCTGATGCCCGTGTTGTAGAGCTTTTCCTTGAGAGGTGTTTAGTGTTGAGGGTTTCAGTTTAAGGGTTTAGGGTCTTAAGGTTAGGGGATAGGATTAAGGGGACCCTTGGGGAATTCTGACCCTCTGAATAGGGTCCCTCTTTAAGAGAGCCACAAGAGGGTTAAGAAGGGTTCCCTTTTAAGGGTCCCCCTTATCCTGCCTAGGAAAGGTCTACGTAGGGCTTAAGGGTTTCAGGGCTTGGGAGTTTGCGTGGGACCTTAGGGCTTGGGATATTTTCATATGTCCTCTGATTCAGTTCGAAGGGGTCATGTCTAGGAATCCCCTAAACCCTAAACCCTAAACCCTAAACCCTAAACCCTAAACCCTAAACCCTAAACCCAAAAATCTAACTCCCAAGCCAAAAAGAACAATCTGAGGGCCGCGAAGCCGAAACGGCGGAGCCAATGTTAGGGTTTAGGGTTTAGGGTTTAGGGTTTAGGGTTTAGGGTTTAGGGTTTAGGGTTTAGGGGAACATCTTCTTGAAAAATCAGATGCTAGTTTCTTGCACTTCACTCCCCAGCAACGTGTCGTACAGACGCTTGACCCTAAACCCTAAACCCCAAACCCCAAACCCTAAACCCTAAACCCCTTGACCATAGGTCCTTTTGGCCAAAGGCGAGTCATAATCCGGGTTGCTTAGCTCATCGATGAGGGGCGGATGTGTCCAGCAGGCTTTGGGGCTTAGGGTCTCCAAATCCAAGCTCCATGAGAAGGCAGGAGTTGCAAGCTCCATCTTCATTCTGGCAATTGGCCGAAGACATTTTGGTAAGCTTGGATTGCTGTGTGCTTTTCTTGATCAAGACCAAGGGTCAGATAGGGGCCTTAGTAATTGGAATGGGGCTTTGGGGGTTATGACGGTACAGTTGTTTTGGGTCCACAAGGGAATACAAAACCCTAAACCCTAAACCCTGAACCCTGAACCCTAAACCCCAAACCCCAAACCCCAAACCCCAAACCCTAAACCCTAAACCCTAAACCCTTAGCGAGCTGAAACTGGGGAGCCCTTCGCCAGTTGAAACGGTCAAGGCTTAGGGTCGAAAGCCAAGCTGAAACCCTAAGCCCCAAAACCCTAAACCTTCGGGTTTAGGGTTTAGGGTTTAGGGTTCCTCTACTTTCAAGGCCCCTCGGTAGTTGCAAGTAGGGTGAGGTTGTAGGGGTTTAGGGTTCAGAGTTGTTTGGAAGCATTTCAGAGTTTTAACTTCTTACTCCAGCTACCCTTCTGATAACCCTACTTACAAGCCCCAAGCAAACCCCAAGGCCTTCAACCCAAGGATCCAACTACTACCTGGACACAAGCCATAACTGTTGAACACGGCTAAAGCCTAAACCCTAAACCCTAAACCCTAAACCCTAAACCCTAAACCCTAAACCCCAAGAAAGGGGGGAACTGCATGGAAGTCGCATCTGCTAAGTCGGCGTGTGCGGCATCGTTCACTAACGCCACGGCCTGCAGGTAATGAGTTGAGCTACCCTAAACGGTACATCCCGCCTGTTCACTAACAGTTCTTTGTAGGGATTATAGTACCCCCCCATTAGAATCCCTATTAAGGACTGTTAGTATAAGGGGATTCTAGTACCCCCCCCATTAGAATCCCTATTCAGGACTGTTAGTAGAAGGGGAACATCCCTGAATGCCAAACACTACAGTACTTTTGCAGTTGCGGAGTGGGCTGGGCTTGGTGGGCTTTAGCAAGGTTTGAGCTTTGTTTAGGGTTTAGGGTTTAGGGTTTAGGGTTTAGGGTTTAGGGTTTAGGGTTTAAGGTTTAGGGTTTAGGGTTTAGGGTTTAGGGTAGCTTCGCCTTACTTTGGTTTGAGGGTTTAGGGTGGTTTTATGCCGGGTCAATAATCTGTCGAGGCAGGAGTCGTGCTCACCCTGCCCCACCCCCCAAACCCTAAACCGAGTTAGAACCCTGCACCGACACCAAAAAACCTTAAACAAGACCCAAACCGAACGGACTAATGCAAAACAAAACATACGCACACGCGCACACGAAGAGACTCTCTCTCGCTCACACACACACACTCACATGTTAGTATATCAAAACAACCAACATAAAATATTCTAAGCCCCAATCCCAAAAGCTCAACCCACAGGTTTTGGGAGTTCTTAAGATCGAGGCTGGAGGAAGCCAAAGCAAAAGTGGAGTTCTGGGGGCTTCGAAATCGGGTTTACAAGTTTCAGCTTTGGGTTCGTCAGAGGGTTTAAGGTTTAGGGTTTAGGGTTAAGGTTTCGCTCATAGGGTTTAGGGCTCGTGCGCGTGTAGGGTCTTGGGGTTTTAGGCTTGAGTGAAGGGTTTAAGCTTTCAGGGTTTTGGGGGGCGTAAGCGATGCAAATCCCTCTAAGTTCCCAATCCATAAAGGGGCAAGAGCATGATTCCGCTCCAGAGCGCCAAAACGCTGAACCCTGACTTCTTAACTCTATCAGCTTCAAAGCCCCTTAAAACAAAAAATCAGGGTTTGGGGGCCCTAAACCCTAAACCCTAAACCCTAAACCCTAAACCCTAAACCCTAAACCCTACACCCAAAAAGCCCAAAAAGCCCTCGAGGCTCGGAACAAGGTCGAACTCACACCCCGAAGGGCGCCTTCTGCCACTGCTTGCACTCGGCGCAGGCGCCCGCAATGGCGGTGTAGGTCAGAGCATCCACCTCCAAACCTCTCTTGAGGGGTTTAGGGTTTAGGGTTTAGGGTTTAGGGTTTAGGGTTTAGGGTGACTTGAGGGGTTTTCAGGGTTGGCTTGGTTTAGGATTCCCCCTGGAAAGGTTTCCCTGCTTAATGTATTGAGGCTCTTGAGGGGCTTTCAGGGTTGGTTTGGTTTAGGATTCCCTCTGTAAAGGGTTTCCCTTCTTCAGCGGCTCATGAGGGTTTTCAGGGTTGGTTTGGTTTAGGATTGCCCCTGTAGAGGTTTCCCTTGATGTACTCCTCATGTGGCCCTTATAAGTTCCCTTATGGATCCTGAAAAAGGGTTCCCAAACCCAGGGGTACAACGTTAGGAACCCTAAGCCCTAAACCCAAAAGACAAGTTTCAAACAAGTTTCAAGTTCCTCCGTAGCTTAGAGGCGGGGGCTTCAGGGACCCTAAACCCTAAACCAGTTTACGCGGGGGGGAATAGGGGCTTTGAGGTTAAATTCTCTGTGTCTTAGAATATGTGCTGACCGAAACGTTAGTTTTGACCCAAAGCTTGTCACCTGAGTCTTTCGGAGCATTGCGGGAGGCTTTGTTTGCCCCAACCCCTAAAAGTTTTCCTGGGCACTAAGATGCACCCCTGCATGTTGGGCTCAGGTTGACGTATGCCAGGTCTCCCTACGCCCGAATGAAGCCCTAAACCCCAACCCTGAACCCCTAAACTTGAAACCCCTGAACCCCCCCTAAGCCCTAAGCCCCTAAACCCTAAACCCCTAAGGCCATAAAGCCCTAAACCCCCAAAGCCTTAAACCCTTAAGTCCAAAGCTCCTCAAACCCGCTTGTGCAGACGGAGGCTCCCTCAATCTGTAGCTCTTCCAGCAGAAGTGCCGCCTGCTCCCATTGGCTGCACATCTCCTGGGATGACTGGCTTAGGAGAGGTTTAGGGTTTAGGGCTTTAAAGGGTTTTAGGGAGGTTTGGGGGTTTTGCAGATTTCTAGGTTTTTTGAGGGGTTTTGCCGGTGGAGCTAAGTATACTCCGGGGTTTGGGCTTTGGGGGGGCATATTCGGAGGTCCTGTGGTTGATCTGGCTCTCGGCTTTGGGGTTGGGGTTGCAAGCTGGCTTGGACACTTCACGCTATTGAACGTTAAGGCTTGGGATGTTCCTCCGTATGCTAACAGTGCTCAATAGGGATTATGGTAACATCCCAAATGAGGGCTCATATAACTTGTGGCCTTAGGGGGGGAGGGTCCCACCGGGTGGAGGTAGGGGGGGAATGTCGGGAAGCTTACGGAGCCATCGGGGTTACTAGGAATACTACGGGAATCGTGTGAACATTGGGCTGCTTACCCCTTGCACCGTAGAGCCCTCGGACAAGGGCCCTAAACCCGAAACCCTAAACCCCAAACCCCAAACCCTAAACCTTGGTGGAGCTAAAGTTGCAGGCGCAGCCAAGAGCAGCAGCAATTGCAGAACTGCGTTCCGATTGTTCGCTTCTATAGGGTATTTGGAGGTTCATGGGACTTATTTGTAGGGTCAGAAGTACCGTAAATAGGGCTATAAATATGGACGCCATACTTATATCCCCACTTATGGCTACCGATGAACCTCCAAGCAGGGGTTCTGCGCAAGGAGGTCATGTTAATGGACAGCATGCGCAACAGTTCCCTTGAAGGTTAAGCTCGATGCTTAACATGCACTGTTTAGGAGTCTGCTACTGCAACGGTTCATCAGATTACAGCCCCGAGCCCAGAACGCAAAAGCAACTGACCTGCGAACAGGGCCAATGCCACCAAAACCTTAACCCCGACAAGTATTTCAGAGTGTGGAATACCTGGCTCCCGTGAATAGTATCCCGTATTTGAGAAATACCCAAATAGCCCCAGCGGCAAAGATACTGATCACCTGATTGTACACGATGACCTCAGACAGCGAGTCCCGCCGTTTCGGACGCATCATGGGATTCGGGAATCTAAATCGCTCAAGCCAGCAATAAACCCTAAACCCTAAACCCTAAACCCTAAACCCTAAACCCTAAACCCTAAACCCTAAACCCTAAACCCTAAACCCTAAACCCTAAACCCTAAACCCACAACAGGATGTCTAAGGCTGCCAAGAACTACCTTAGAAGTTAAAAGCCCCCGAGCTCCCTTTGCAGGCTGCCTAGGAATCCAAGAAAGGTAGGATTTGGCTCGAACCCTACACCCGCAAAATAAGTTAGAGCGCTACACAGCTAGCAAGAAAACCCCAGACACAAAACCCAAGGGGGGGACGCACGACCCCGAATCCTTCTGGCCTGCGTTCCCGAAGGATAAGCCATGCGAAGCAGCTACAAGAAAGATGGTCGTTGAGGGTTTAGGGTTTAGGGTTAAATCCCTAGGGTCTGAGGAAATACCGCTGAGCTTGACTCCATATACCTATTACCAGACGGGCCGGAACCCTGAAATTCTAGAGGCCCTTGAACCCCTCAGATTAGCAGAAGAACAATAACTACTATTTGCATAAGAACCCCCCAAAAAATAGCAATTATTCTTCCTTACGGGAAATATAGGGATCATGTCTTTGGATTTTGTAGTTTTGGAAGGTTCTTGTGAGCAAAAAGTAAGTACCCTCAACACTACAAACATGTAAACACCTACACCCCAAGCAATGGATTTCGGCGTTTGGGGGGGTTCTTGGGCTGTTACAGTGCGCTTTGGGACTTGAGGGACTTCGGGGCTTTCAGCCGCCTAAGCCCCTAACACTAAACCCTAAACCCTAAACCCTAAACCCCAAACCCTAAACCCTAAACTCTACACCCTAAACCCTAAACCCTAAACCCTCACTGCCCGAGCGGCATTGGCCTGGCACCGCACCTGTGGCAAATGCCGCAGCAACCCCAAGCTGACTTGCCACTGCCTCAGAGCTTTGACCCTGGAAAGCTAGGGCTGTTAGGGTTTAGGGTTTGGGGTTTATAGGGTTTAGGGTTTAGGGTTTTGAAGTGTAGACTTCAAAGTATCCATGAACCTTCAAGGGGAGTTTATGAGTGCGGGGGGAGGGGGGCAGTGGTTTGTAGGCAGGTCTGGCTGAGGCTTGTAGATGTCCTAGCTGCAGCGTTTAGGGGGGTTCTCTTCATGTGTTTGTTAAGTATCGTATCGTAGGAAGGATGGGGCATGGGATCCTCAGGTGCTTCAGGCCTTTTGGGTAGGACGGGGCTTGGGCTCAGGTGCAAGACGTGTCGCCTGTCCCGAGGCATGAGTGACAACAGATGCCGCCGGTCACTACCTGCTATACTCCCCTTAGAACCTTAACAACAAATGATATTGAAAATATATTCCCGTGGGCTTTGCAAACAAAACAACAAACAATTCCTAAAGGGGCTATAGCCTGAAGGTCTCAGCGATAGTCGGCTCCTTAAACCCTAAACCCTAAACCCTAAACCCTAAACCCTAAACCCTAAACCCTAAACCCTAAGCCCTAAGCCCTAAACCCTAAACCCTAAACCCTAAACCAAAGCCCTTATGGCTTGCTTTCAAGCCCCGAGAACAGTGCAGCAACCTCATGGCCGAGACGACGAAACACAGCATGCAAAGGCTGGCCCCTTGCAAACCCTCAATTCAACCCTAAACCCGAGACCCTCCCAACCCACTGCACCCTAATCTTATGTGCTTGACTCTGTGTGTGTGTGTGTGTGTGTGTGTGTGTGTGTCTGTGTGTCTGTGTGTGTGTGTGTGTGTGTGTGTGTGTGTGTGTGTGTGTGTGTGTGTGTGTGTGTGTGTGTGTGTCTCGGACTGGGGTTTCAGCGTTTCAGCTGCAGAGTATCGTGTGTTGAGCCAACGGATTCAAGCTTACTTCGTGCAAGAGGACCACGCTGGGGATATGGAAAGACAACTCAAGCTTCTTCCGTTTAGGTTGGACAGATAGCTTGTCACCTTCGTACTGGAACTATACTAAAGATGAACCACTTAGTTTCTGTGGACGAAGTCCCCTCAAAACGAAATAGAGCTTGCCTGCACTACTACGAGGCGTGGCGACTGGCCGAAGGCACAGGGGAGGGGCCTGAAGCCCGAAAGGACAATCTCAAGCTCCCGGACTTCACACACCTAAGTTTTACCTGGGGTCTGGGCGATTTACGATTCAGACCTAACCCGAAACCCTAAACCCTAAACCCTAAACCCTAAACCCTAGGATTTGAGGGCTTAGGGTAGTTTAGGCGGCCGGGGGGTGGGTTAGGGGGCCAAAAGATCTGCACCAGGGCCCCCGCAGACCCTGGGCACTGGCCTGGATGGCCGCCCCGAAGGTGACGACCTTGCAGTCCCTTCTAGCATATGCTGCTTGGGGTTTAGGGTTTAGGGTTTAGGGTTTAGGGTTTAGGGTTTAGGGTTTAGGGTTTAGGGTTTAGGGTTTGGGGTTGAGGGTTTAGGGTTTGGGGTTGAGGGTTTAGGGTTTGGGGTTTAGGGTTTAGGGCTTAGGGGTTTAGGGTTTAGGCTTGGAACCCTAAACCCTAAACCCTTAACGGGAGGCTCAAGGCTTTGATACTTACTCTTACTTGTCCAGTTTCTGCGGGGAGCGCCAGTAGGCTGTTTATTTTTATTTTGGGGTCCTGGAGGGGTTTTGGAACCCTAAACTCTATAAGCCCGAAAAAAGGGTTCGTTTCTCGACTACCAAGGGCTTGTAGAATTCCGACTGTCAACTGCAGGGTAGCCAGAGCTTTCGTGGCTATAGTGCCATTCGGAAGATTCAGGGTTGAGGGTTCCGGGGCAGTTGAGGGAATTCCGTTCGGGTGAGCGGCTGCGGTGAGCCATGCGGATGGGAGTCATCGCTCCCGCTAATTCCCCCCCGGGCAATGACGAAGAGCTGTTTTGAGTTGGTGTCCCCTTATAGTTTCCCTTCTTCCTAAGATGCCTTCGTTTTCAACACTCAGTGAGCCCTACCTTTGGTTGGTTGGCGCAAACACAATACGCAGAACACCCTGAAACCCTACGTGGGCCCTGACATTAGAAAACGGTAAGGGGTTATGTCATACAGCAAACTCCAACAAGTTGCATCCTTGCCCCATACCCCAAAAGGTTTACTAAAGGGAATGCCAGCTCTAATCATCCCTAAACCCTAAATAACAAATAACCCTAAACCCTAAACCCTAAACCCTGAACCCTAAACCCTAAACCCCAAAACCTAAACCCAAACCCATAAACCCTAAACCCTGGACCAAGTTTCTGGAGTTTTCCGTAGGCGTAGAGCTTTAGAGGGTCTTGTCCTCAGTTTCTGACGTTGCTCTCGCCGCCCTGCAGGAGCTCCGAGAAGAACAGCAATGCCTCAGACATCTCGGCGCACGGGAAGTTTAGGCTTGAGGGTAGCCCTAAACCCTAAACCCTAAACCCTAAACCCTAAACCCTAAACCCTAAACCCTATACCCTAAACCCTAAACCCTAAACCCTAAACCCTAAACCCTAAACCCTAAACCCTAAACCCTAAACCCTAAACCCTTTTCGGTCTGGGCTTCGAGGTTCAGGCCCTGGTACTTCATGGGGCCCAGAAATATGGGTGCTGCTCCCTAAACCCTAAACCCTAAACCAAAAAGACCCGCCCTCCAACATATATAAATAAATAAATAAATTAATTAATTAATATGTATACATATATATATATATATGATGATGATAATAATAATAATAATCATAGTAATACTATTTCTTCTACTTCTTACTATTATGAATATTTTTTGACTTCGCGCATGCCCACCTTAGGGATTTTGATTTTTCAGGCACTCCAGGGAGTCTCTGGGGCTGGGCACTCCGGGGAGTCTCTGGGGTTGGGCACTCCAGGGAGTGTCTGGGAGTTTCTGGGTTGGGCACTCCAGGGAGTCTATGGGAGTTTCTGGGCACTCCAGGGAGTCTATGGTTGGGCACTCCAGGAAGTCCCGGAAGTTGGGCAATTCAGGGCACTCTGGCACTCCCAGTCTCCGGGGTTGGGCACTCAGGGAGTCTCTGGGTTGGGCACTCCAGGGAGTCTCTCAGGTTGGGCACTCAAGGGAGTCTCTAGCTTAGGAGTAGACCGGGCGAGGAGAAGAGTTCCGGGCGAGGAGAAGAATTGAGTTTAAAATCGAACAACCCAGGTGGGGAATTAGAAGAAGAAGAATAAGAACAATCATAATGAGAAAAATCCCTATATTGCCCTTTTAAGGAATACTATTTCGTATCTTGTGGGGGGGGGGTTCTTCAGCAAATAGTAGATGAACCTCCAAGTAGGTGCGGGGGGAAGCCTGCGAAGATCAGGTTTGCTTATACGCAGTTCATCTTGAGAATTGAGGGTCTACAGGGTCTGAGATTGTCATTGCCTGCTTCCACCTACAGCCTAAACCCGAAACCCCAAATGCTAAACCCTAAACTCCTAAACCCCTAAACCCTAAACCCAACCTTTCAGGTTCCGCATGCCACACGAAAGGCAAGTGTCCCGAATTTCGTGACTAAGGACGAACAAAGCCGCATCATTTGGTCGTGAGCTGCAAGTAGGATCCCCTTGTTGGACCTATCTCAACAGGACTCCTTTGTTTAGAGCTGTTAAACCTCCATCTGTTCCTGAACTTTTCAATGAGTTTTTGAGGGTAGGTTCAGTGAACTTTCCGGACCTTCCTCCAAAGGCCAAATCCCCCCAAGCTCCCGCGAAGCCTCCTGCCAGAGACCCGCAGCTGAGTAAACACTGATTGTTGCACCTGCGATGGCGGGAGGCAGGGTAGGGTTTAGGGTTTAGGGTTTAGGGTTTAGGGTTTAGGGTTTAGGGTTTAGGGTTTAGGGTTTGGGGGTTTGGGGGTTTGGGGGTTTGGGGGTTTGGGGGTTTGGGGGTTTGGGGGTTTGGGGGTTTGGGGGTTTGGGGGTGACCGTCAAATGAAGCTGCTACCCGAGGGCAGACAGGGACATCCACAAGCACTGCGTGACGTTTGACGTCATAAATCTGGGCGACTTTGTTGACGCCAGTGACGCCGTCGTGTCGTCGGGCGGATGCATTGCTCTAGATTTGACCTTGACAAATCTTGCTCCCCTACACCCCAAGACCCTACACCAAACCCTAAACCCTACACCCCAAACCCAACCTTTGTCGAGGCAGCGGCACTTGAGTGTCTCGCAACCCCCCTCGACCTCCTGAACCCTGAACCCTAAACCCTACACTCTAAACCCACAAAGCCCATCCCCAACCTTCAACACCACCCTTGGGGTTTTAACGCTAGGGTTCCTTGAGGCACTCAAACTGGTTCAGGGTTAGCGGCTGATTCGCTTGTCGTGCCGAACCCCCACAAAACCCCACTCCCAAAACCCTAGATGGGAGTTTACGAACATGAGGCGCCCCTCATATAGTCCCCAGACAGTAGGATTCCCTTATAATAAGGGACCCAACCAGGAGCCCCTAATGTCGGAAACCCCCATCATGGGTTTAGGGCTTAGGGCTTAGGGCTTAGGGCTTAGGGCTTAGGGCTTAGGGCTTAGGGCTTAGGGTTTAGGGTTTAGGGTTTAGGGTTTAGGGCTTAGTGTTTAGGGCTGAGTGTTGCAAGATGACGCCCAGGCGCTGTGCGTGACGACATCGGCTCGAATCTCCGACTCCTCCAGCTGATGCCTTCTTGGGCGATGGAGCTTCTGGGGGTTTAGGGTTTAGGGTTTAGGGTTTAGGGTTTAGGATTTTGGGGTTTAGGGTTTGGGAATTCTAGCTCTTCTCCAACATGGGGCTTCCTGATACGTAGGGCTTAGGGCTTCGGGCTTGGGGTTGAGAGTTTAGCGTTTAGGGCCCTTCTATGTACTTCGAGCCCATACACGTACCCTTCAATTAAGAGCTCATTTGCTGCGTTTAGGGGGGGGGGGGGGGTAGGGGTTTAGGGTTTAGCGTTTAGGGGCTTAGGGTTCAGAACTTTAGGTTGTGGGCTTCGGGATTCCTTCCTTCCCCCCACCCCTAGAGGCCCGAAACCCAGAAGACCACGCCGAGCTGCAGCATTGCCAGAGCCCGCTGCCACTGCCCACCCTTCTCCAAGGCCTTGCTTGCTTAGGGTTTAGGGGGTTTAAGGGGTTTAGGGGGTTTAGGGGGTCTTAGGGGGTTTAGGGGGTTTGGGGGTTTATAGGGGGTTTATAGGGGGTTTATAGGGGGTTTAGGGGATTTAGGTGGTCTTAGGGGGTCTTGGGGGGTTTAGGGGGTCTAGGGGGTTTAGGGGATTTAGGGCGTTTAGGGGGTTTCGGGGGTTCAGGGTGTACCCTCCTCAAAGGGCTTGGTAAGGGCATACAGGGATTTACGTGGTTCATACGAGGGCTTACCGATTTTTTGTTGGATTTGTTTGACGGTTTCGGGGGATCTACTGGTACGAGTCGGGCTTGGGGCCTTGCAAGGTTCGGGGCATCTAGGTGGGACGATGCAACTCCTGAGTTGAAGTTTACCTTGAACCCTGAACCCTAAACCAGCTTCTGAGCTAAACTTTACCCTGAACCCTAAGCCCTACACCCAAAAAACCCGAAGCCCAGTCCAGGGCCCACTGGGCACAGGACTCTTCATTGATAAACTTCTTAAAATGAACCCGATGTGAGGTGACAAAGAGTTCCGCCCTGTGAACCCTTAGACCCTAAAACCCTCAAACCCTCAACCCTAAACCCTAGACCCCCATATACCCAGAACCCTGAACCCTCAGAGCCGTAGACCCTAAAAGCCCTCAAACCCTCAACCCTAAATCCCTGCTCGACTGCTAGGCCTAAGTGGGTATTTCCAAAAATAGGGGATACCCTTAACATACCCCAAAATGCCATAATCCTTATTAGAGGAACTCCCCCCCATAAAACTTAAACCCTAAACCCTCAACACTAAACAATAAACCCTAACCCCCAAGTAGTCCCCCTAAACCCTAAACCCTAAACCCTAAACCCTAAACCCTAAACCCTAAACCCTAAACCCTAAACCCTAAACCCTAAACCCTAAACCCTAAACCCTAAACCCTAAACCCTAAACCCTAAACCCAGCAGCAGTGATGCAGGCGTTGTAGGTGATCAGGTCGGCCCGAAGCTGGCGCTGGGAAGCTTCCTCAAGGACATCGGTAACTAGTTCATGGTTGGGATAGTATTAAAATTGTAAAATTATATTCCTTATTGGGTTTAAGTACCCTTAAAAATGTAAAATGTTACCCAACTACGACAAAGGTAAGGACTGTGGCGTAGGCTTCAGGGTTGGTCTAGGGTTTTAGGGGTCTCAGGGTTTTTGGTTTAGGGTTTTTAGGGGTTTTAGGGTTTTTAGGGTTTTTAGGGTTTTAGGGTTTTAGGGTTTTAGGGCTTTAGGGCTTTAGGGTTTTAGGGTTTTAGGGGTCTTAGGGTTTTAGGGCTGAGTGCGTCCCGGAATACATTGGAAAAAGGCTATCCCTTGATATCCTTCCCTGCAAAAAAGCAGCCCCTAATTTTCGGAGCCCTAAGCCCTGAGAAAAAGAAAACAACACAAGAACAAAAAAAAGGCTGAAGGATTCCCTGCTCCAAAAATAAGGCTTTTTCGGAAACCTGACTTCTCCTAAGCCCTAAAGCTTAAAGCCCTAAACCCTAGACCCTAAAGCCGTAAGCAGCCCTAAGCCCTATGCCCTACGCCTAAGCCCTAAGCCCTAAGCCCGAAGCCCTAAGCCCTAAGCCCTAAGCCCTTTGCCCTCAGCCCTAAGCCCTAAGCCCTAAGCCCTAGCCCTAAGCCCTAAGCCCTAAGCCCTAAGCCCTAAGCCCTAAGCCCTAAGCCCTAAGCCCCAAGCTAAGCCCTAAGCCCTCCCCCTAAGCCCTAGCCTTAAGCCCTAGCCCTAAGCCCTAAGCCCTAAGCCCTAAGCCCTAAGCCCTAAAGCCCTAAGCCCTAAGCCCTAAGCCCTAAGCCCTAAGCCCTAAGCCCTAAGCAAGCCCCAAGCCCTAAGCCTAAGCCCTAAGCCCGAAGCCCGAAGCCCGAAGCCCGAAGCCCTAAGCCCGAAGCCCTAAGCCCGAAGCCCGAAGCCCTAAGCCCGAAGCCCTAAGCCCTAAGCCCTAAGCCCTGAGCCCTAAGCCGGAAGCCCCAAGCCCTACTAAGCCCTAAGCCCTAAGCCCTAAGCCCTAAGCCCTAAGCCCTCAGCCCTAAGCCCTCAGCCCTAAGCCCTAAGCCCTAAGCCCTAAGCCCCAAGCCCTAAGCCCTAAGCCCCAAGCCCTAAGCCCTGAGCCCTACCAAGCCCTAAGCCCCAAGCCCCAAGCCCCAAGCCCTACTAAGCCCTAAGCCCTAAGCCCTAAGCCCTAAGACCTAAGCCCTAAGCCCTAAGCCCTAAGCCCTAAGCCCTCAGCCCCAAGCACCCAAGCACCCAAGCACCCAAGCACCCAAGCACCCAAGCACCCAAGCACCCAAGCACCCAAGCACCCAAGCACCCAAGCACCCAAGCACCCAAGCACCCAAGCACCCAAGCACCCAAGCACCCAAGCCCTAAGCCCTAAGCCCTAAGCCCTAAGCCCTAAGCCCTAAGCCCTAAGCCCTTTGCCCTGCCCTAAGCCCTAAGCCCTAAGCCCTAAGCCCTAAGCCCTAAGCCCTAAGCCCTAAGCCCTAAGCCCTAAGCCCTAAGCCCTAAGCCCTAAGCCCTAAGCCCTAAGCCCTAAGCCCTAAGCCCTAAGCCCAAGCCCTAAGCCCTAAACTATAACAAAGAAAGGGGGCAAGGGTAGGACTGGGCGTCCGAAGAGCTCCTGCGGCCGGGCGTCCTCCAACAGCGCCCCAGCCTGCTGCCAGAGACCCGGCCGCTGGCAGGCCGTGATCGCCTTCTAGGTCTTTGGCGAACTTTAGGGTTTAAACCCTAAACCCTAAACCCTAAACCCTAAACCCTAAACCCTAAACCCTAAACCCTAAACCCTAAACCCTAAACCCTAAACCCTAAACCCTAAACCCTAAACCCTAAACCCTAAACCGGCTCTTCTGTTTAAGAAGAAACGTGCCAAATTCCCATGCCAAATGCAGTGCTGCCTCATTTTCGGTTTATAGGGTTTAGAGTTGCGGTTTAGGGTTTAGGGTTGAGGGTTGAGGGTTTAGGGTTTAGGGTTTAGGGTTGAGGGTTTAGGGGCTTCAATTTCGGGTGCTTCAGCGCGCGGGCTGCGGGCTGAAGCAGCAGGCCGAAATCGAAGTGGAACGATACTTGAGCTGGAACGGTTAGAGAAGACCTTGACTGAAACCCTAACACTCGAAACCCTAAACCCCAAACCCCTAACATTCAACACTCTATATAACGCCTAGACCCTAAACCCTGAAACCCTGAAACCCTAAAACCTGAAACCCTGCCACCCAAAACCCCTAATCCTAGCCCCAAACCCCAAACCCTAAACCCTAAACCCCAGACCCTAAACCCTAAACCCTCCTAAACCCAAGTTCCCTTCAGAACCCTTTAAACAGACTAAGGGACCATGTAATCCAACCCTAAAAGCCCCACAGCCCAAAGCCGAAATTGAGCCGTAGGTGCGGCGTTGAACGAGATGAGGCTGGGGTTCAGCTCCACGTCCATCAGCTCCCTCACTAGGCCTCGAGTGTGGGTTTAGGGTTTAGGGTTTAGGGTTTAGGGTCTAGGGTCTAGGGTCTAGGGTCTAGGGTTAGGGTTTAGGGTTTAGGGTTTAGGGTTTAGGGTTTAGGGTTTAGGGTTTAGGGTTTAGGGTTTAGGGTTTAGGGTTTAGGGTTTAGGGTTTAGGGTTTAGGGTTTAGGGTTTAGGGTTTAGGGTTTAGGGTTTATGGTTTAGGTTTAGGGTTTAGGGTTTAGGGTTTAGGGTTTAGGGTTTAGGGTTTAGGGTTTAGGGTTTAGGGTTTAGGGTTTAGGGTTTAGGGTTTAGGGTTTAGGGTGTAGGGTGTAGGGTTTAGGGTTTAGGCTTTAGGGTTTAGGGTTTAGGGTTTAGGGTTTAGGGTTTAGGGTTTAGGGTTTAGGGTTTAGGGTTTAGGGCTTAGGGCTTAGGGCTTAGGGCTTAGGAAGCTATAAGCCCTAAGCTCTACAAGTTTACAAGAAACGAACTTGCGCCGGCTTTTCAGGCCCTAGTTGCTCTCAGGACCCCAAAACAAAATACCCTCCTTGAGGGTTCAGGGTTTAGGTTTTAGGGTTTTAGGGTTTTTAGGGCCTTTCAGGGTTTTAATTTTACTTGGAGGCTCATTGGGTAGTTCTACTTAATATGGTAGTTCTCCGCGTAGACACTGAAGCCTTAAAACCCTAATCAAACCCAAAACCCTAAACCCTAAACCCTAAAACCCTAAACCCTAAATCCTGGCGCTGACTGCTGTCCTGGCTGCTAAAGGAGTGCGCCCAGGCATCGCCCCTCTCGCAAGCGCTGATTGCAGAGTTGTACGTGATCAGGTCCAGACGAAACTGCTCATCTTTCCTCGAATAGGATTTAGGGTTTAGGGTTTAGGGTGGTGTAGGGCTGTAGGGTTTAGGGTTCAGGGTTGTAGGGCTTGAGTGTCTACTTGGAGGTTCATGGGAACTTGTACGTTGGGACATACGTACCGTAACTAGAGCGACGCGGAGAACTGCCATATTGAGTATAACTACCCAATGAACGTCCAAGAAAAACTGACACCCTGAAAGACCCTAAACGCCCCAAAACACCCCAAGACACCCTAAGACACCCCAAAACCCTAAAAACTAAACCCTAAACCCTCAAGGAGGGCATCTTGTTTTGGGGTCCTGAGAGCAACTAGGGCCTGAAGAGCCGTCGTAAGTTCGTTCCTGGAGGCCTTCGACGGCTTGTAAACTTGCAGGGTTTCGGGCTTAGGGCTTCCTAAACCCTAAACCCTAAACCCTAAACGATTAGGGTTTAGGGTTTAGGGTTTAGGGTTTAGGGTTTAGGATTTTGGGTGTAGGGCTTCGCGGTTTCTTCGGGTTATGGCCTGTAGGGTTGCGGTTAGCATACAAGGTATGAGAGACACCAAGGGCCCCCATCACCCAACGGCTCTTCCGAACTTATTTATTTGCGAGAAAGACATTTGAGGGCCCGAAACCATAGGAATTAAAATTGGCTTTAATTGCCTTTATGGCCACTATGCTCTGAGGCGGAGAATGCTGACAGGATGGGGATGAAAAGGCTGACCCTGCGTTGATACCAAGAGTTCTCCAAACTGAGGCACCCGAATAACAAGGCGCCGCAGTGCAATAGAAACCCAGACTGCATGCGCGTGCGCGTTCGCGTGCGCGTGCGCGTTCTTTTTGTTGTTCTACTGTTCTTTTCCATATTTAAGGCTCAGAACGGATCCACACGTTGCACCGTGTCTCTACATTTTCTCAGTGTGCTCCTGGGCTGGTGGGCAACTTGGATTACAAAAACCGGTAGATCCGGTTTGATATCATGATTGTACTACCATGGAGTAAGAATATGTCAAGTAAAAGAGTGTGTGTATGGGCGTGTTATGTGCAAGTTTAGCTTTGGGGTTGGATATTTTGGACCTTCGCCGCGCTTCCTTCCCCATGGCATGAACTGTGTAACCCAAAACCCAAAAACCAAAACATCCAAAAACCCTAAACCCTAAACCCTAAACCCTAAACCCTAAACCCTAAACCCTAAACCCTAAACCCCCTCCCCACCGCGGTCGGAGGCCCTGATCTCCGCCGAGCCGCAGCGCTTGCAACCTTTCCACGCCCGACTGAACGCACCGAAAAACCGGCTTTTGGGGCTTCTCTGTCCAGTTTAGGTTGTTTAGGATTTAGGGTTTTCGGGTTTTCGGGTTTAGGGTTTAGGGTTTAGGGTTTAGGATTTAGGTGCTTTTTGGGTTTAGGTTTTGGTTTTTAGGGTTTAGGGTTTAGGGTTTAGGGTTTAGGGTTGAGGGTTGAGGGTTGAGGGTTGAGGGTTTAAGGTTCAGGGGTTAGGGTGTGAGCCGCCAGGTTCCTAGAGGCATGAGTCAGGAACCAACCCAGATCCCTACATAAACCCTACAAATCCTAAACCCTGTACCTCGAACCCAGAGCTGGCTTTTCGGGCTTTGGCATCCCAGTTCACTGGCCCAGAAGCCCCATGACCCCTACCCTCAAACCCTCAAACCCTAAACCCCCTAAACCTGAAACCTTAAATCTTAAACTCCCTAAACTCCCTAAACCCCAAACCCCCTGAACCCCAAACCCCCGAAACCCTAAACCCTGAACCCCCTAAATTTAAACCCTGAACCCTGAACCCTGAACCCTGAACCCTGAACCCTAAACCCTAAACCCTAAACCCTAAACCCTAAACCCTAAACCCTAAACCCTAAACCCCAAACCAAACAAATCACGGCCCCCCCCCCCCCCCCCAAAAGGTGGCAGGCAACAGGCGCAGTGAGGCTTCCCAGGATCCTTCGCGGCCGCAGGCCGCAATGACCGAGCCTCACAGGTCTGGGGTTTAGGGTTTAGGGTTTAGGGTTTAGGGTTAGGGTTAGGGTTTAGGGTTTAGGGGTTTAGGGTTAGGGGTTTAGGGTTTAGGGTTTAGGGTTAGGTTTTAGGGTTTAGGGGGTTTAGGGTTAGGGTTTAGGGTTTAGGTTTTAGGGTTTAGGGTTTAGGGTTTAGGGTTTAGGGTTTAGGGGTTTAGGGGTTTAGGGGTTTAGGGGTTTAGGGGTTTAGGGGTTTAGGGGTTTAGGGGTTCTAGGGTTCTAGGGTTCTAGGGTTCTAGGGTTCCAGGGTTCCAGGGTTCCAGGGTTTTGGGGTTTTAGGGTTTTAGGGTTTAGGGCTTTAGGGCTTGAGGGGTTTGGGGCTTTAGGGCTTTAGTAATTAAGGCTTTTGGGCTTTAGGGTTTACGCCTTTAGGATTTTAGGGTTTAAGGCTTCAAGGTGTTAGGGCGTTAGGGGTCAGACGCCCTCAGGGCTTTAGGGGCTTAGGGTGTTTTAGGTACAAAGCCACACACTGAACTGTCACTCTCTAGACCCCGAGTAGACTAGGAAAAAAAAGGGTTTAGGGTTTAGGGTTTAGGGTTTAGGGTTTAGGGTTTAGGGTTTAGGGTAGGGTTTAGGGTTTAGGGTTTAGGGTTTAGGGCACCCTTTTGGGTTTTAAGGGGATTATGAGGGAACCCCAACCCTAAAAGTACGAAATAAGGGCCTGCTCCGAACCCTAAACCCTAACCCTAAACCCTAAACCCTAAACCCTAAACCCTAAACCCTAAACCCTAAATCCTAAACCCTAAACCCTAAATCCTAATCACCCTAAACCCAAAACCCTAGGGGTTCTTGAGCCAAGGTCGGGACAGATGTTGCAACTAAGGCCATGGCTTCTGCCGCACGGGCGTCAGTTGGTTCCTCTGTTCGTTTAGGCTTCAGGGGTTCAGGGGTTCAGGGGTTTGGGGTTAGGGTTTAGGGTTCAGGGTTCAGCCAAGACCCAAACCTACAAACCCCAAGCCTCTACTTGGAGGTCTTCAAGGTACTTGTAAGTAGTGCTCTAAGTGCTCTCAAAGGGGCTCTAAAAACAGATACCATGCTTGTAACCCATGAACCACCAAGTAAGGGTTTAGGGTTCACCCTACTTACAACCCTAAGATACTGTAAACCCGAAACCCTAAACCCTAAACCCTAAACCCTTGTTGCAGCCGAGGGACTGTAGGAGACCAGGCCTGGGACCAGGCGCCTGCCGAGACAGTGACTTTAGGGTTTAGGGTTTAGGGTTTAGGGTTTAGGGTTTAGGGTTTAGGGTTTAGGGTTTAGGGTTTAGGGTTTAGGGTTTAGGGTTAGGAATGGGCGTGCCTCTGCTGCATCTGATGAAGGAGATGAAGTCCCAACTCCCATGAGCATGAGCTGATGGCCTAGGAGGTTTAGGGTTCTAGGGTTCTAGGGTTCAGGGTGTAGAGTTTAGGGTTTAGGGTTATTGGGTTATTGGGTTATAGGTTCTAGGGTTATGGGGTTATAGGGTTTAGGGTGTATAAGGTCTACAGGGCTCATGGGGTTTAGGGTTTTGAGTCTGGGGTTCAGGGCTTGTGGGGTTTATGGGGTTTGCAGGGTTTATGGGGTATATGGGGTTTGTAGGGTCTGCAGGGTTTACAGGGTTACAGGGTCTATAGGGTTTACAGGGTTTATAGGCTTTACTGGGTTTATAGGGTTTCGGGTTTATAGGGTTTAGGGATGTGGGTAAGGGCTTTTGCGCGGGCCAGGCGTTTACAGAGTTTATAGGGTTTATAGGAAGGGTTTATAGGGTTTCCAGGGTGTATAGGGTTTTATAGGGTCTACAGGGTTTACAGGGTTTGTAGGACTTGAAGGTGTTTGTAGGATTTAAAGGAGCTTTAGGGTCTAGGGTTTAGGCTTCGGGCTTTTGTGCCGGCCAGCGGAAGTCCTTGATACTAGGTTGGATTTAGGGGTTTAGGGTTTTAGCGGTTTAGGGTTAGGGGTTCCATGGTTTAGGGATTTCGGGGTTCTGCGGATTAGCAGTTTAGGGGTTGAGGGGCTTAGGGTTCAAGGTTTAGGGTTTGCGAGGGTTCAGGGGCTGCAGGGTGGCCTTCGGGGTGTTCGAGTCTAGGGTCCTAGGGGTTAAAAAGGGTTCCCAGTATAAGAAAAGGGCTTAGGGTTTAGGATTTCGGGTTTAGTGTTTTTGTTTCGGGATTCTGCCCTTTTAAATTTATACTTTTCCTAAGCCCGAACGGAAGAGAGAAGTGTACTACACTTGCTAGGCTACTGAACCAGACCCACCAGCGCAAATCCTGAGCCCTAACCCTAAACACTTAACCCCAAACTGTACCATAGTCCAGGTCGCGGAGTTGTATGTGATGGTGTCCTTGGTTGTTGGCCAGGAAGCGGAGAAGAGCGGCTCTAGCCGACCCGGCTCCTACGAAACGACTACGAAACCGGCTGCTGAACTTTCTGATCAGCGTTTAGGGTTGAGGGCTTACCGACATGGCCTGAGCCCCAATAGGGCAAACATGTTCGCTTTCAACGGTCCCAAGCGCAGGGACACAACTAGGGTCTAAAATGGAATCTCTGGATACCCTAAACCCTAAACCCTAGATCCTAAACCCTATACCCTAAACCCTACACCCTAAACCCTACACCCTAAACCCTAGGAGCCTTGCAGATTGGGATTTGAGGCTTCAGGTTTTAGGGTTGAGGGGAACGCGAAGCGGAAACCTTTCTGAGGTCCTTGATCCTGAGCCCAAAGGAGGGTTTAGGGTTTTAGGGTTTAGGGTTTAAGTCTTGGAGTCAGTGGTTTCCAGGTCTGGCTGCTGGGGATTTGTGGGTTTAAATCTTAGGCTCTTAGTTCTAGGGGTTGTGCCGTGGACCGTGAAGGTCGTGCCATTGGATTTTGGGTAACCACTGTAAATATCATTATAGCAATAGAATGGCCATGTCAGGAGTATACTAGGGGACCCTTTAGGAAAGGTAACCTCGCTGTGAGAACCGCACATGTCCATGCCCCACTTGCCCCAAGCATCCGGCTCGGCCGCGGTGAAGTTGAGCAGGTCCTGCCGGCGCTCATGTAGCGGCCAGAACCCTAAACCCTAAACCCTAAACCATAAACCCTAAACCCTAAACCCTAAACCCATTCTCTGTGTTGCTGATGGCTGCATCGAAATGGCGAGCAGAAGAGGAGAGCGAGACTCGGATCGCGAAAGTTTGGGAGGAAGAGAGAAGGCTTGGAGACAGTTTACCCCAACCCTCAAGCCGCGCAAGGGCTTAGGGTTTCGGATTTGGCAGCGTCAGCTGGAAAGCCTGGGAAGATATTTTGGCATGCTAGGGGGTCAGTCCAGCCACGCTGTCTCCCCCCCACACACACACACACACACACACACACACACACACACACACACACGCACACCCACCCACACCCACACGCACACGCACACGCACACGCGCACGCGCACGCGCACGCGCACGCGCACGCGCACGCGCGCGCGCACACGCACACGCACACGCACACGCGCACACACGCACACACGCACACACGCACACACGCACACACGCACACACGCACACACGCACACACGCACACACGCACACACTCACACACGCACACACGCACACACGCACACACGCACACACGCACACACGCACACACGCACACACGCACACACGCACACACGCACACACGCACACACGCACACACGCACACACGCACACACGCACACAAGCACGAACGCACGCACGCACGCACGCACGCACGCACGCACGCACGCACGCACGCACGCACGCACGCACGCACGCACGCACGCACGCACGCCCGCACGCACGCACGCCCGCACGCACGCACGCACGCACGCACGCACGCACGCACGCACGCACGCACGCACGCACACCACACCACACACCCACGCACACACACACACACACACACACACACACACACACACACACACACACACACACACACACACACACACACACACACACACACACAACACCACACACACACACACACACACACCCGCGCACACACACACACACACACACACACACACACACCCGCGCACACACACACACACACACACACACACCCGCGCACACACACACACACACACACACACACGCACACCCACACCACATGGCTTCTGGTGAGAAGGGTGGGTGAATTGCAGTCCGTTTCTTGGGGGGGTCCTGAATGTGAAGGGGGCGCAGTGTCTAGGAGGCACAAGGAGGGACCCTAAACCCTAAACCCTAAACCCTAAACCCTAAACCCGATATAAATCCTAAACACCACCCAAGTAAACAGTCAACGTCTTCCCAGGTCCAGCAGTGCCACTGCCGTTTGCCACGCCTGGAGCCGTGGGTTCCGGGAAGTCGCCGGTTCGGTCCTTTGGGCCTCCCTGCTTAAACCTCAGCCTCCCTGAAGCTCCTCCTGAATAGCTTAGCTTCCTTGGGTTTAGCTTTTTCATTTGGGGGAGGGTGGGGGGGCGTCTACAAATTCCCTCCGGTTCAGCAGTTTGGTTTGAGCCTGGGCCCTACGGAGCTCGAATCCTGCAAGTTCGGGTTGCGCGCACTCCTTTTTTGCGACGTTCAAAGCGTGAAACATCAACAAGAAGGGGGAAAACGAGGGTTCAGGGTTGAGGGTTCTGGGAATTTACCTGAAACCCTAAACCCTCTGAACATCTCTCAAAGAGCCCTACACCCTCGAGAGCCCCTGCGCCCTACCTCAACTCCTTCCTACATCCGAAACCCTACACGGGGTTTAGGGTTTGTGGGTTAGGGTGTAGGGTGACAAAGATCAAGGAATAGCCTCCCCATGCCCTGCACCTTGTATAAACCCTGACATCATGAGACTCTACCTTGGACCCTACCCTGTTCATAACGATCCCTAAGGTAGTATAAGGGCCAATTAGGAGCACATTTAAGGGGAAGCCCTTGGGGGTACAACCTGGGGTACGAGTCTTAATTCCCCGAAAAAACCTCAACCCTAAACTCGAAACTCTAAACCCTAAGCCCTAAACACTAGACCTTAAACCCGAAGCCCGAGGCCCTATCCCTCAGCCCTAAACCCTAAACCCTAGTGACAGCTGCTGCTCAGGCAGAGGGGCCGATGGGGGAACTGCGGCGATGGCCGCATTGAAGGTGATAAGGTCCCAAGTCACCTGGCAAGCTCACTTACCGTAGGGTTTAGGTGTTTAGGGTTTAGGGTCTAGGGGTTTAGGGTTTCGGGTCGGCCAGCTCACTGAACAGCCGTTGTTTTGGGGTTTTGGGGGCTTCGGATTCAGGGCCACCTAGGGGGTCCCTGGTTTCATAACGGAGCCTTATAATTTCGGGAACACGTCGCCTAGGGTTTAGGGTTTGAGGCCTGAGAGTTGTGGGTTCACATTCCCCGAAACCCTGAAACTCCAACCTTTCGGGCTTTTAGGGTCTGGGTAGCCCAGTAATCATAACATAGCAAGGGCACCGTTTTTGGGTTGGCTACTCCATGAGGGAACCCCAAAAAGAAACGGAAAAGGGTACCACTGAGCTACCAGGGCTTTACGCCTTGTTTGGGGGGGGCAGTTTTACTAGGATGGCCTTTCAGATATCTCTGATCCTCGCAAACCCAAGAAGGGAGAGTATGAAACATCCCAAGAGCCTAGGGTTTAGGGTTTAGGGTTTAGGGTTTAGGGCCTGAATAATTAGAACAGGGTTTTGGGGGTATGCGGGCGAATGCCTGTCGAAGTCAATAAGAAAAGAAGATGTCATCTGCATCCTCAGATATAGGGTTTTTTTGGGGGGTTATTCTGGTATACTTACGAAGGGACCTTAAGGGAATACGATTAGTAATTATTCCGACCCCTATAACTCTAACCCTAAACCCTAAACCCTCATTTAGGAAGGACACTGGGGCTGGAAGGACTTCAGTCGGCTCCCGGGGCTATTCTTTCGGGTTTAGGGCTTCGGGTTTTCGGAAATTGTGGGCTTGGGTTTAGGGTTTAGGGTTTAGGGTTTAGGGTTTAGGGTTTAGGGCTTAGGGCTTAGGGCTTAGGGCTTAGGGCTTAGGGCTTAGGGCTTAGGGCTTAGGGCTTAGGGCAGCCATTGGCTGCTCGGTTCGGGGCCTTCTTTAGCTGCTTGTGCACGTTTTTGCTGACCTTCAAGGCCCCAAGGCGATGTGAAGATAGGGTGACAGTCTTTCACGACAATGCTTAAGAGAAGAATTGAAATGGCCTTGCCTCTGCACACTCACAGCGGCGTGCACATTTCGGGGCTTCCCTTGCCTGTTATGGAACTGCAACGCAAGCTCATCTCACCATCTCTTTCACAGCCGAAAGAGTCGCCTGCGCGGCTACAAGCTTCGTTTTCAGCATCTTCTGGGAACGCGCGAAAGCCTGCGTTTGCTCCTTCTTCGCCACTGCGATCGCCTCCTTCTCAGCCCTTGCCAAATCGAGTTCCGCCGAAGCCCGAAACCCTGACCCCTGAAGCCCTGAACCTTGAGCTTAAACCCTGAACCCCGAAACTAGCCCAAAATCCCTAAACCCTAAACCCTGAACGCCAAAACTTGCCCAAAATCCCTAAACCCTCAACCCCTAAACTTGCCCAACATCCCTGAAACCCCAAACTCTAAACCCTAAACCCTATAAACCCTAAACCCTAAACCCTTAACCCTAAACCCCAAACCCTAAACCCTACCCACCTTAGCTTCTTGCATCTCGTTGAGCAGCAGCAGCGCCAGTGGCCAGTGCCCGCCTGGGGCGGTCGTGGAACGGGAGCTCTGAGGTTGAACGTTTAGGGTTTAGGGTTTAGGGTTTAGGGTTTAGGGATTTTGGGCAAGATTTTGGGTTTAAGGTTTTAGGGTTTTGTTCTTTGTGGTTTCGGGAGTTTAGGCAAGTTTCGGGTTTAGGGCTTAGGGTTTAGGGCTTAGGGCTTAGGAGTCATGGAATGGGAGCTCGTAGCTTGGGTGTTTAGGGTTTAGGGTTTAGGGATTTTGGGCAAGTTGTGGGTGTAGGGTTTAGGGTTTCGGGATATTGGGCAAGTTTCGGGTTTAGGGCTTAGGGTTTAGGGGTTAGGGCTTAGGGCTTAGGGGTCATGGAATGGGAGCTCTTAGCTTGGGTGTTTTGGGGCTTACTTGGAGGTTCAGGGTACATGTAACCCAATTTTAAGGTTAGCTATAACCCACTTTTAAGCCCTTAAGTGTCATAAATGGGTTAGAAGTACAGTTAAAATGGCTTACTAAGTACCCTGAACCTCCAAGTAGGGGTTTTGGGCAAGTTTTGGGTTGTCTCGGTTCTCTCAAACCTCAAGCGGTAAACCCTGAACCCCAAATGAGTTCCATGCATGCCCCCTCAGCCTTTCCAATGCGGAATCGAATGGGGAAACCCTCCATGGCCTAAGCACAGAAGACCACGAATTTCCTAAACCATGTATCCCCAAAACCCTAACCCGTAACCCGAAACTCTGCTCATAAACCTTAAACCCTAACCCCCAAACCCTGTAATATAGGGGCCTTAATAATTAGAATCGGGTTCTTTGGGGGGTTACTCTAGTATATTCATAAAGGGACCATAAGGTACAATCTTAGAAATTATTCCGACTCCTATAACTATTCTCTAGACCCAGGAGTAACCTCGGAATATAAAGGGTACCCCTTTGGTGTTCAGAGGATTCTCAAGGGAACCCTGACTCCCCGACCCTAAAAATAAACCCTAAACCCTAAACCCTAAACCCTAAACCCTAAACCCTAAACCCTAAACCCTAAACCCTAAACCCTAAACCCTAAACCCTAAACCCTAAACACCGAATTCTCTAAACCGCCTTTGCCACAGGCGCTGATGGCAGCGTTGAAGGTGATCCTTGGCCCGGGCGCGGCTTCTTCGAAGCTTCGGTGTTGGGATGTAGAGGTTTAGGGTTTAGGGTTTAGGGTTTAGGGTTTAGGGTTTAGGGTTTAGGGTTTAGGGTTTAGGGCTTAGGGTGACCTACACCCAGAAGCCCCAAGCCTTCAATGTCCCTTTCCCCCTGACCCTTCGACCCCCAAATTCCGTAAACATGCGCCCACGACCCCTCGTCGGCTCCGCCCCGCCCCCCCTTCAAAACAGAGAAGAGAGAGAGGGGGAGAGGGAGAGAGAGAGAGGGAGAGAGAGAGAGAGGGACAGACCACAAGCCCAAATTTCTTAAAGAACACCCAAGCCCGGAAAGTCACCAAAGCCCCCGAAACACTCTCAACCCTGAACCCCCAACTGTGCGATCGCGCAAAGGGGCGTGTCCACTTGAACAGTTCGGTTCTGAGCCTCGCAAAGGGGTAGGAGGTTTGAGTGGGTCAAGAGTCCAAGGCTTTCTTCAGGGTTTTTAGGGTTTCGGGTCTATAGACTTTCTTTTATGGCTTTTGAGGGGAGTCGGGTAGATTCTTCAGATTTTCGTGGTGTGGCAAGCGCCCCGCCGCCCCCCCCCCCAGCCCGCCCCCCCCGCTCGCCCGCCACCCCCCCGCCCGCCCCCGCCCCCGCCCCCCCCCCCCGCCCCCCCCCCCCCCCCCCCCCCCCCGCCCCCCCCCCCCCCCCCCCCCCCCCTCCCCAAAAAAAAAAAGAAAAAGAATAACAATCATAATCATAATCATAATAATATAATAAAAATCAAGCAAAATACATAAGCGAACTTAAACAAGAAGCGCCAGGCAACAAACCAAAAAAACCCCAAAAAACCCAATTGCGAAAGACAAGCACTAGCACTCCTGAAGCCTAAAAAACCCTCCCCACCTCCTGTCCCCCCAGAGAAAACAACGACCACAACCTTGAACGCTACACCCCAAACTTTAACCCTAAAAGCCCTAAACGCCCCAAACGCCGGCTGGGGAGCGACGCGCAGTAGGTCCAGTGCGCCCCACCAAGCGCCTCCCTTCTCGCACGCGCTCACGGCGGTGTTGCAAGCGATCCTGGAAGGTTTTGGGGTACTCTTCTGCTTATTCTAGGGTTTGGGTTAACCCAAAACCTGGAACCCCAAAACCCTAATACCCGAAACCCTAAAAACCCTGAAGCCCTAAAACCCTAAAAGGCTAAACCTAAAACCCAACACTGCGCAACTGTCTGGGAAAATGGCCTGCCGGTTGTGGGATTTCACGATCTCCCTTCACCCACTGAATCCCCTGCTTGGAGGTTCATGGGTAGTTAGAAGTACAGTGAACGCAGTTGATAAGAAATCATTCCAAACAAGAAACTAGACCCTGACCAAGCATCCATTTCTTAATCCAGGGTCTGGTATAAGGCAGATTTCTATATGTCGAACCAACAGCCCTCCGGGCCCCCAGCCCCCTCGAGCCCCCTCGAGTTCCCGAGCTATCTCGAGCCCCCTCGAGCCCCCTCGACCCCCCCCAGCCCCCTCCAGCCCCCTAGCCCCCTCTAGCCCCCTTCAGCCCTCAGCCCCCTTCCAGCCCCCTCCAGCCCCGCCCGAGTTTAGGGCTTAGAGATACGATACCCACTGGCCCTCCTGGCATTGTTACATTCGGGGCCCTAAGCCCCTTACACCCTAAACCCCAAACCCCAAAACCCTCAACCCTGAGCCCCAAAACCCTAAACCCCAAAAATCAGACTTGGCCAGGCCGCAGGTCCAGCTGGAGTTCCATGGAGACAAGCTCTTGAAGCCTCGGGTGCTTCTATTGCTGAGCTTTTCGGGTGCTGGGTTTAGGGTTTAGGGTTTAGGGTGTAGGGTTTAGGGTTTAGGGTACCCCTAAACCCTAAACGCCAAAACGCCTAAACCCCGAAACCGCAACCCCCTAAACCCTCATTTCATACGCCCCCTAAACCCCTAAACCCCTAAGCCCCTAAACCCCTAAACCCCCAAAGCCCCCAAACCCCTAAACCCCCAAACCCCTAAACCCCTAAGCCCCCTAAACCCCTAAGCCCCTAAACCCCCTAAGCCCCTAAACCCCTAAACCCCCTAAACCCTGTAAACCCTGTAAACCCCCTAAACCCGCTAAACCCCCTAAACCCCTAAACCCCTAACCCCCCCTAAACCCTAAACCCCCTAACCCCTAAACCCCCTTAACCCCTAAACCCCCTAAGCCCCCCCTAGCCCCTAAGCCCCTAAACCCCTGAACCCCTAAACCCCCTAAACCCTTAAACCCGTAATCCCCTAAACCCCTAAACCCCCCTAAACCCCTAAACCCCCTAAGCCCTAAACACCCTAACCCCTAAAACCCCAAACGCCCTAAGCCCATAAACCTAAGCCCCGCCCCTAACCCCCTAAACCCTTAAACCCTAAACCCCTAAACCCCCTAAACCCCTAAACCCCTAAACCCCCTAAACCCTAAGCCCTAAGCCCCCTAAACCCCCTAAAACCCTTAAACCCCTAAAACCCCTAAACCCCTAAACCCCTAAACCCCTTAACCCCCTAAACCCCCTAAACCTGTAAACCCCAGAACCCCTAAACCCCCTAAGCCCCCAAACCCCCTAAACCCCTAGACCCCCTAAACCCCCAAACCCCCTAAACCCCTAGACCCCCTAAACCCCTAAACCTCTCAACCCCTAAACCCCCTAAACCCCCAAACCGCTAAAGTTCAAGGGGCCCCGAAGCAACCCTTCCAGACCCCAAGGCGTAATCCTCCTAAGCAGCGCCCAAAGCCCGGAGTTTCCACAGGATTTAGGGTTTAGGGTTTAGGGTTTATTCTAAGTTGTGCACGAAAGCTGTGAGCAAAACAGGCCCAAAACCCTAAACCCTGAACCCTGAACCCTGAACCCTAAACCCTAAACCCTAAACCCTAAACCCTAAACTCTAAACCCCAACATGCTCGAGGAGCAGGGCAAGTGCCAATCCCCAGCTTGCCGACTTTTCGCAAGCGCTGATGCAGGCGCTGTATGACACGACCTTGGCTGTGGGTGCGTTGTGGAGGTTCATAGGTGGGCAGGGTTCCGAAGCAAGAATGGTTTAGCATCGCTGGGCAAGACTTTTGCGGGGTTTTCGGAATTTTGGGCTTAAGGAATCCAAGGTTTCCGGGTCGTCGGGCTTGGGGTTCAAGGATTTTTGGGCTTTTGAGTTTGTGGTTGTAAACCCCAAAACCCACCCTAACCCCAAAACCCGAAACCCTACTAAAGCCCTAAAGCCCTAAAGCCCTAAAGCCCTAAAGCCCTAAAGCCCTAAAGCCCTAAAGCCCTAAAGCCCTAAAGCCCTAAAGCCCTAAAGCCCTAAAGCCCTAAAGCCCTAAAGCCCTAAAACCCTAAAACCCTAAAACCCTAAAACCCTAAAACCCGAAACCCTGAAACCCCAAAACCCGAAAACCCTAAAACCCTAAAACCCGAAAACCCGAAAACCCGAAAACCCTATACCCTAAACCCTAAATCCCGAAACCCTAAACCCTAAAACCTAAAACCGGCTGGGCCCCTGGCATCCGGCTCGTACTTTGCCCGCCGCAAGGCGGGGAGTAGGCTGACCGCCCCGTGCCACTGACGCGCCTGCTTGGAGGTTCATGGTACTTACGAACGATACCTGTACCACTTGGTTCTAAGTACAGTTATACGTACAGAAATAAAGGACAGTTAGCAGTACAGTTAGAAGTACAGTAAAACGTACAGGTACAAGGTACAGTTATAAGTTGGTCAATAAGTCCCATGGACCTCCAAGTGGGGGCGGGCGGGGAGTGCGGCGAGGGCCCGGCCCAGAGAAGCTTTGAATTCCCAGAAGCGCCCCACCTTCGAAGCTTTGCTCTTCGGATGCTCCCCCTTATCCTAGCAGTCCTTAAGAGGGATTGTAGTACCCCCGATGAAAAATCTCGAGTAAGGACTGTCAGCATAAGGGGGAACATCCCACGCTTTTAAGCATTCAGGTACCCCATGGTACCCCTAAACCCCAAACCCGACATCCCAAAACCGCAGCCGAAACCGCTGACCCAACCCCGAAACCCAAACACCCAAATTAACCAACATCCCAAATCCCCCAAACCCAAACCCAAACCCAAACCTAAAAGCAACAAACATCCACTCTTGGCTTGTGCCCGGTCAGATGCTGACCACAGTTCCTAGCTTAGGGTTTAGGGTCTAGGGTTTAAGGCGTAGGGACTTCGGAATTCAGGGTCTTGGTGTTAATGGTGCGCTTGTTCTTGAGGACAGACCGCACAGACTAGTCTGAGTGTAGGCATTCACAGCAGGACCCTCTCAAGAAACCCTAAGGGTCCATGTACCCATATAGTATATACTTGGGCCCTGAAGCTATACATTGGGAACCCCTTTAAGGCCCAAGTATATAGAGTACTATATGGGTACATGGACCGATGGGCTCTCAGGACCTACCTTCAAGCCCATGCCGAAAAGCCTGAACTCTGAGACCTATGCAAAGACCCTAGCCCTAACTTAGTCCCAAGCCCAAACCCCGAGCACTACCCCCAAAAGACGCCCTGAACCCTGAAGCCCTACAGCCCAAAACCTCAGAAGCCCGAAGCCCTAAACGCCCAGGGCGTCATCACCCAAACCTGAAACTCAAAAAACAAAACCCTAAACCCTAAACCCTGAACCCTGAACCCTGAACCCTAAACCCTAAACCCTAAACCCTAAACCCTAAACCCTAAACCCTAAACCCCCAATACTTCTGGCCAGGACCTGGCGGCCAAGGGGCACGACCGCAGCCCGAGATCGCAGCATTTACCGATGCCAGGCGGGGGTGAAAGGAAGAACGCCATGCCTGCAGAACTGACAGGCGGTGTAGGGTCGGTTTAGGGTTTAGGGTTTAGGGTTTAGGGTTTAGGGTTTAGGGTTTAGGGTTTAGGGTTTAGGGTTTAGGGTTTAGGGTTTAGGGTTTAGGGTCGGTGATTGTTACTCTCTTTTTGAAGAGGCTCTAGGGCTTTAGGGTTTCGGGGCTTTAACTCTTTAAACTCTTTAGGTTCGTAAGCGTTTTATGTGTTTATAGGGTTTTGGGTTTTACGGTTAGGTTTTTATAGGGTTTAGGGTTCAAGGCTTTTGGGGGTTGGGGTTTTCGGAATCAAGTTATATATATATATATATATACATATATATACATAAAAGGGCTCGGGGTTTTAGGGTTTGGGGGTTTGGGGTTTAGGTTTTGTAGGGTTTGTGGGTTAAGGTTGTGGGGGGGCCGGGGTTTCTACGTTTCTAGGCTTTCGGGCGAATTTCGGGCTCCAGGTTTTTAGGGTTTAGGGCTTTGCCCTAAACCCTAAACCCTAAACCCTAAGCCCTAAGCCCTAAGCCCTAAACCCTAAGCCCTAAACCCTAAACCCTAAACCCTAAACCCTAAACCCTTAGGGTTTAGGGCTTCAGGGTTTAGAAGTCCTGGCTCCGTACGCCGAGCCATGACGCTGCCCTTAAATGGATTAAATGGGTTTCAGGGTTTTAGGGTGTTAGGTTTCAGGGTTTAGGGTTTGAGGGTTTTAGGGTTTTATAGGGTCTTAAGGGGTTTTTAGGGTTTTTTTTTTGGGTTTTAAGGGGTGTTTGAGGGGCTTTTTAGGGCTTTGTTTAGGGCTTTTTAAGGGGTTTTTTGAGGGTTTTTTGTTAGGGTGTTTTAGGGCTTTAGGGTTTCTAAGGGTTTTTTCAGGGCTTTTCAGGTTTTTGGGGTCTTTAGGGTCTAGGGTTTCTAGGATTTGGGGGTGTCAAGGTTTAGTCTTGAGGGTGGGTTGGTTTTCTTGCATTATTGCCCCGGCGTTGTTTGCCGGCCACGCGTCGCGTGTTGGAGGGCCAGGAGTAATCCGGGCCGCAGTTGGCTGCCAAGTCTGACGCGCTCGGCTGAGGTTGTGGTTGTCTGAGGTTTAGGGTTTCGGGTTTAGGGTTTAGGGGTTTGGGGTTTAGGGTTTAGGGCTTAGGCTTTAGGGTCTCTGCCAGCCGTGCGTTGCATATCGAACAAGTCGAACAAGTGTTGGAGGGGTTCTGGAGTCCGCGCCGCTGCAATCGTTCGCTCAGCGCAGTTCTGAGGCTCGGCATTCTACATGACAGGACTTACTCCCAGCTAATGACCCACCCCTATACCAAACGCTCAAAACTCTAAGCCTTGGAACCTAAACGAACAGCCCAAACTACTAAACAGTAAACCATAGGGGGGGGGGGGCAGGGGTGATTATAGTAACACTAAACCCTGCACCCGTAATCTGGGTTAAGGGCTTAGGGTTTTCGGCTTAGGGTCCCTACGACCAGGCCTTACAGGCTACAAATCGGCAAAGAACTTAAGGCATGTAAGGCAAAGTCTTCTACAACACAGCCGACTCCCTTGAAGACTTGCCGCCCTATAACCTAAACCCAAAATCTCTGGAACCATACACGTCTGCACACCCTCAACCTAAACCCGAAGCCAAAAAAACTTGACAACCATCAAAACCCAAACCTCTAGAACGTTAAACCTCTAAAACCCGACAAGTAACCCACAGACCGTAAACTCTAGAACCATAAGCTCAAAAGCCCAAAACCCTAAGCCACAGACCCTCAACTCGAGAATCATGAACTCTGAAACAAAACCCAAAGCCCTCTGGTTGCAGACCCTAAGCTCTAGAACCACAAGCCTCTAAACCCTAAACCCTAAACCCTAAACCCTAAACCCTAAACCCTAAACCCTAAACCCTAAACCCTAAACCCTAAACCCCCCATAACAACCCCTCTTTAGACCTCGGTGAGCAGCTGCAGGGCCCACTGCCAGCGACCTCCCCTGGCACAGAGGAACCTCGGCTCAGTTTTTTTGACTGGCTTACCGCTTGGGACTTTATGTAGGGCTTTTATTTTGAGGTTTAGGGTTTAGGGTTTAGGGTTTAGGGTTTAGGGTTTAGGGTTTAGGGTTTAGGGTTTAGGGTTTAGGGTTTAGGGGCAGTAGCAGCCATGACCTCCTAGAGCCAAGGCTCTGGATCCAGGGGCGTCGGTTGCTTTGACACTTTCTGGGCTGAGTGAGCAATCTCAGACTGCAGGGTGGCTTCAGTTATGTCCCTAAACCCTAAACCCTAAACCCTAAACCCTAAACCCTAAACCCTAAACCCTAAACCCTAAACCCTAAACCCTAAACCCCAAACCCCAAACCCTAAACCCTAACCCTAAACCCGAGCTGGAGGCCATCGAGGTTTTGCAATCAAACCTCACAGAGCAAAGACAGGTCGTTCTTTCAATTCAAACTTGGGGTCGCAGAGGTTTCCTCTTTAAACTTAACGAATGCAAATGGAGACCTAGACCCCAGACCCTAACCCTAAACCCTAAACCCTAAACCCTAAACCCTAAACCACTGGGGGGGGGAGGGGGGGGAGGGGGGAAGCGAAGCAAGGAGCAGGCGCAATAGCCGTAAACCCTAAGGTTTAGGGTTTAGGGTTTAGGGTTTAGGGTTTAGGGTTTAGGGTTTAGGGGTTAGGGTTTAGGGTCTCCCCGACAGCTGGCCAGGCAGTGCGGCGAGGAGGCACTGCGGTGGTGTAATCTTCCTGGCTGTGCCAGGACGCAATAGTCAGGCTATAGGATAACCCTAAACCCTAAACCCTAAACCCCTTAAGCTGGCACCTAAGCCCCTGGAAGATCAACTCTTGTAGCCCAACAAGAAGATTCCCAATGGGGAGGGGGTTCCCAATTTAGGATTCAAGAGCTCTGGGTTAGGGTTGAGGGTTTAGGGCTTAGGGTTTTGGGGTGTATAGCGCGGTACCAAGATTTTGCGAATAACATCTTCGAGTGATCGCGTTGGCCGGGTGTAGCATGCGTTGTACGCCTTCAGGGTTAACAACGTAACTCCGCAACATTCGCATCTTTGCCCCAAGACTCTCTAAACTCATACTGCACTAAAATGAGTCTTTGGCCTATAAACCCTAAACCCTGAACCGCAAACCAAGCCTCTTCCTTTACAAACCCGTTCGAGATTGAACTTGCACCCTGCCAAGGCAAGAAGCCGGCTGCAAACTACCGACTGAACCCCCCAAGACCGAGAAAACCCTTAACAAGACCCAAGAGCAACCTAGGAATAACAAGGGGGCCCTTTTTGGTCTAAAGGAGCTTGTAATAAGGGCGCCTAGACCCTCAAGAAGGGAGTGGGGGCCTACTCTGAGTCGTAGTTAGCCTAAACCCCAAACCCTATAAACCCTATAAACCCTATAAACCCTATAAACCCTATAAACCCTATAAACCCTATAAACCCTATAAACCCTAAAAACCCTAAACCCTAAACCCTAACTCTAAACCTAAACCCTAAACCCCCAAACGCTCTCGCAGGCCTCGTTGCCCGCAGAGCGTCGACGTGCCAAGTGAAGCAGCGACAGCGCTTCAGACCAGTGCACATATCGAGGGATGCCGGCTCCTCAGGAAGTTTAGGGTTTAGGGTTTAGAGTTTCGGGTTTAGAGTTTAGGGTTTAGGGTTTAGCGTTTAGGGTTTAGGGTTTCGAGCTTGGGGCTTGGGGTTTGGGGTTTAGGGTGTAGGTGTTTCGGGTTTAGGGTGCTGAAGATGACTAACTTAAGGTATCGGGTTGTCAAGGACCTTGGGTTTAGGTCAAGGTGGATGGGGAATTCGTCTGGGACCAGGAGTGTTCAGGATGTCTTCAAAAGCCTGGGTCACACCACAGTCTCCATCATCATGACTATCCATGTCGCTGTCTGAACCGGCCATGCCTGCTAGCAGCGAGGTGTCCACGCGGATACTGCTGGCTGCAGGGCCATAACTTCCAGTCGATTGCACTGCTTCTGGCTCTGGACGCTTCAGAACTCTTGGCTGCACTTAGGAGGGTAACGGAGGGTAGCTACAAATCAAATTTTTAGCTGCCTTCTTAAGAAGCCCAACAAGCCCAAAAAGGCTAAGGATCTAAAGTTACAGTAAAGCACCACAAAGAACTCAGGCTGCAGCACACCAACAAACCCTGAACGGGTAGGGCCAAGATGTAAGCGGCTTAGGGTTAGGGTTTAGGGTCTAGGGATCAGAGTGTCGCTTAGGGCTTAGGGGTTTTAAAGGCTTTGCACAATACTCTTTGGGATGTTACGGGTCGTTTGGTGGTTTTGGGTCGCAAGTACCAAAAAAACGGTCATGAGTCATGAGATACCCTACTTCTAAGTGCCCATGAACCCGCCACGGGAACACGCTCCCTAACCTACAAGTTTCGGGGCTTCGGAGTTGAGGCCATAGCTCCACAAAACCCTAAACCCGAAACCCCGAAACCCTAAACCCAAGAGCTGGGGTAGGGTTGGAGGGCGGCCGCAAGAGTTAGCTGCTGGTTTAGGGCTTAGGGTTGACAATGGAGCAGCTCCTTGAGCCCTGGAGCCTCTGGCCGAGTCTGCCCCAAAATGGGCATCAGCAAGGGTTTAGGATTTGGGGTTTAGGGTTTAGGGTTTCGGGTTTAGGGTTTCGGGTTCTCTTCCTCCCCAGGCTTTCAGCCCTATGCCCAAAATCCTTGACCCTGAGCCCGACCTAAGCTCCAAACCCTGGAATCCGGCAAACCCTGCTGTCCTGCCAGAGCTGAGCTCTTGCGCGGCATGGGCGACACGGGTTTATGGCTTCGGGTTCGGCATTCCCCCTACCCGGAAAAAAGTGGAGTCCATATTCGATAACCCCCTACAAGCCCCAAACCCCCTCAACCCTCGAAACCGACCGAAGGCTTCGAAACCCTAAGCCCTCCACCCTTAACCCTACTCATAAGTACGTTAAACCCCAAACCTGCGGACATCGACATCCTTGTGTCAAGGCTTTCCTAGTTCATGGTTGGGAAAAATGATTAAGAATCTAAATGTATATTCCTTATTGGGTTTAGGTTTAAGTACCCTTAACAATGTAAAATGTTACCCAACTATGACAAAGTCTCGCTGAAGCAAAGAGGACTGGAAAACCCAACAGGGCGCCAACCCACAGCCCCACCCCCCCCCCCCCCCCCCCCCCGGAAGTTGCTTTAAAGGCAGCTATAATTCCGGGTTTAGGGTTTAGGGTTTCGAGGTTGGGGTTTAGGGTTTAGGGTTCAGGATTCAGGGTTCAGGGTTTGGGGTTTGGGTTTGGGGTTTAGGGTTTAGGGTTTAGGGTTCAGGGTTTAGGGTTTAGGGTTTAGGGTTTAGGGCCTTAAGGTTCAGGGTTTCGGGGATCCACTGCCGAGCCGGAACACTGGGCGTCAGGCGGCTCACTGTTACGTGGAACGGGGTTCTGAAACCCCAAGGGGGTTACCCCAAAGCCCAAAGCCCAAAGCTCAAGGCCCAAAGCCCAAAGCCCAAATCCCAAATCCCAAAGCCGAAAGCCGAAAGCCGAAAGCCGAAAGCCCAAAGCCCCAAGCCCCAAGCCCCAAGCCCCAAGCCCCAAGCCCCAAGCCCCAAGCCCCAAGCCCCAAGCCCCAAGCCCCAAGCCCCAAGCCCTAAACCCTAGCCGAGCGGGCTCTTGCGCCCTGACCCCCAAACCATTTTCCCCAACCCCCTTTAAAGCCCCTTGAAACATACAAAAGTGCAGCGCAGGAAAGTATAGTATAGTATAGTATAGTATAGTATAGTATAGTATAGTATAGTATAGTATAGTATAGTACAGCATAGTATAGTATAGTACATTATAACATAGCATAATTATAGTATGGTATGGTATAGTATGGTGTACTATGATATAGTATGGTATAGAATGGTATAGTATGGTCTAGAAAGGTCTAGAAAGGTCTAGCATAGTATACAGTATGACTGGTCAGATTGACTACGAGGGGGGGGGGGGGGAGATGAACATTTGGGCGTGGTAGCCCAGTAACCATACGTACCATAATAAGGGCATTTGGGGGTTGGTTACTTTATAAGGTAACCTTGAACCAAAAAAAAGGGGGAAAAGAGTGCCACTGGGCTGCCCTAAACCCTAAACCCTAAACCCTAAACCCTAAACCCTAAACCCTAAACCCCAAACCCCAAACCCTAAACCCAAGCAGCTGATGCGAGGAGCAAAGGCTGGAAGCGACCGAGTCCCGGACATATAACCGACGCCCATTTCCTGCCGTCCAGTCTTGCATCTCATTCAATCCTAACGCAGGCCTAAACCCTAAACCCCAACCCCACACCCCAAACCCTAAACCCTAAACCCTAAACCCCAAACCCTAAACCCTAAACCCTAAACCCTACTTACCGGCTGTTACTTCTCAGTCAATTACTTACCAGCTGTTACTTCTCAGTCAATTACTTACCAGCTGTTACTTCTCGGTCAGTGGGGAGTGTTATCGAGTTGGTTTGGCTGCTTGGAAGCGCGCCCCTACATGCGTCCGCCAACCTCACAACCGGATCCTGCCAACATGCTCGCATCAAACATGTATGTTAACATCTAGGGGCTTAGGGTTTAGGGTTTAGGGTTAGGGGCTTGGGGGTGGGATTTGGCGATCGAAACTATCATTTCGCCCCTCATGGACAATAAATGAGACATCAGAACCCACGTTGACCTGAGTTAACCCCGCCCTGGGACCCTGACCCCTCATGCTCTGATTGGGCCTGCGCGCCCCCGGCCCCTGGTGCACCCAAAGCCAAACCCTACACACAAATAGCCCTCTAACTTCCCTACTCCCCAAACCCCAAACCCTAAACCCTAAACCCTAAACCCTAAACCAAAAACCCGAAACCCTAAACCCTTTCAATCCTGGGGCTTCAAACGCCCGAATGCACATCAGATTCTTTGCTCCTTGAGAAAGGCGTCCATGTCGCCCTCCGCCTGCGCTGTGCGGAGCCCCCCCCCCCCCCCCCCCCAACGTTTAGGGTTTAGGGTTTAGGGTTTAGGGTTTAGGGTTTAGGGTTTAGGGTTTAGGGTTTAGGGTTTAGGGTTTAGGGTTTAGGGTTTAGGGCTACTATAGGGGCCTGAACAATTAGAATAATAGGGTTTTGGGGGTTCTTATAGTATAAGTACAAAGGGACCATAAGGAAATGTTATTGGTAATTATTCCCACCCCCAATATTACTTGGAGGTCGATGGGGTACTCAGAAGCAGGGTTTAAGTTTGAGGGTTGGGGTTGGGGTTGAGGGTTCAGGGTTCAGGGTTCAGGGTTTATGCTTCAGAGTTTCGGGTTTAGGGCTAGAAGTACCCTAAATTACGTATAGCTACCAAACTTGTAAACCTACTTGTGTGTACCCATGAACCTCCCGAATCTGCCGTGGGATTCGAGTTTTCCTACTGGCGCGTACTCTTCCTAAACCCTAAACCCTAAACCCTAAACCGTAGGCCCTAATTAAGCCGTAAACCATGGCATGCACACCGTGCCTTCACCAGCACCCAATCGCCCGAGAAGTTCGGTCGACCATCATCCTCACACCTCAGTTTTGGGGTTTCCCCCTCATACTAGCAGTCCTTATTCGGATCATAATAGGGGTACTAGAATCCCTATTGAGGACTGTTGGAAAAAGGGGGAACATCCCAAGTTTAGGGTCTTGGTTTAGCGCGGTTTCAAGCAACAAAGCCGAAAGAAAACAAGTAACCACCAACCAACCACATCACATCCTTGGCCGTACGGGGTTCCATACCGACAGTCCTTAATAGGGATTGTAGTACCCCCCCCTCCCAATTTTGACCCTAGTAAGGCCTGTTCGTATGAGGGGGAACATCTCATTCTTCGACCCAAACAAGCACCTTTAGATTTACTTAGGGGCCCAATACCCTGGCCCCAAAAAAGGTGAACCTTCTATTTGTAGCAGGGTTCTGTATAAAACCAAAAGGGTTAAAGGTTAACTACCCAGCCCCTAAATAGGGATGTGGCAATGTCCACGATGTCCACTTTGTCTCATCCCAGCCCCCAAAGCCCTGAACTTCAGACTCGGGAGTCCGACTCTTAGCACTTAGGGTTTAGGGTTTGAGGTTTAGGGCTTAGGGTTTCGGGTTTAGGGTTTAAGGTTTAGGGTTTCAGCTTAAGGTTTAGGGCATGGATGACATGGGACCCGGACTACGTGACTCGCGGCTCTCCTAAGTGGCAAAATGGGACCCGGAAAGAAAGTGAAGTGCAGACGCAGGAACAAAGAACAGGGCTTTTGGCTGACAAAGCTTCGAAACACTGTAACCCTAAACCCTAAACCCTGAACCCTGAACCCTAAACCCTAAACCCTAAACCCTAAACGCTAAACCCTGAACCCTGAACCCTGAACCCTGAAACCGAATGAAATACCCAGACGGCGCCATCGGGTACCCGGCATGGATGCTCGGCCAGAAGTGGAATGGATGCTCGCCATTTCCACAATACCCAACACACCAAACTCCCAATAACAAACTTGGCTGCACTTAGGAGGGTAGCTAAAAATTAACTTTTTAGCTGCCTTCTTAAGAAGCCCAATAAGCCCAATAAGGCTAAGGATCTAAAGTTACAGTAAAGCACCACAGAGCAAAAAGCATGT